TTGTATATGGAGGACCAAGCTCAAGTAATGCTCAATGCACCTACCTTGCAGCACAATGAACACACATCTGAGGTCCTGTGGCTGTTGAAATAAGTTGTGTCATGGGAGGAGGACACTCAGTGCATGCAAAGTTGTTTGGTCATGCTTCTTGCTTCAGCTGCCAGGCAGCTGACGCTATACAGCTGCCAGAACAACTTCCAGTGAGTTACAAATTAGCTTGGATAACCTCTCTGCTCCTACTGAAGAGCAGATGTCTCCTGATGGCCATCCCTCGTCATCAGGTAACACACGACCCATCTGTGTTGCCCATGGATGTCTAGGGTCTGCTGACCTAGCTGTACAGTTATTGATGAATCCACCAGGTTCAAAGTTGAATGGCTTCTTAAAATCACAGAATTGTTTCTTGTCAAAGCTAAAGGGCTCACCATGAGCCCTGACCCTTCCTCCTGTTGGCTTGTACCACCCGGACATTGCAGTTGGACAGTTCCCTGATAAAAGCTTCTAATGACTTTTGCTAGGCAGAAACAGAGAGAAGATGCTCTGTTACAGGTCAGGAAGGCCTTTCCATCAGGTTAGCAGGAGGACTTCTTCCAGGGCAATGGCACGATGACTGCATGCTGCTTGTTTGTGGGCAGTAATTCCAGTAACTCTTCATGGGCAGGTTGCGTCAAGCATCTGTGAGCAACACCAATGCTTGCATGTCTTCAGGCTCGTGTGACACTGGCTGGGTTCAAGTGCAACGCTGCTCCCACCAGTGACTGGAAGTAAGCACAGCTGGAGTAATCACAGCTGCGTCTTCAGCTTTTGTAGCCTGGGACAAGCCTGCGCTGACCTCTTGCTGTGGTCGCACTCATTTCTTTACAGAAAGTTGTAACTGCCCAAAACTTGCTAATATCCTTTTGTACTGCAGATATCAAGACTGGGAACTTGCACAAAAGTGAGGGATGTTCCTACTCCAAATTCGAAGCATTTCTATTGAGTCAGATTTGTGAAAGCAGTCATTCTGTGGGTCACCACAGTGACTTTGTGCTAAGGAATCGCTGATGGAGCCACAGGACTGGCCACCTTCAGTTAAAAACAGAAGATTACAGAGTGTGAAGTCCAATGAAGAAACTGGGTCACTCACCCCCTTTGGTGTCTCACGTGGCAAACACTAGGAGAATAAGAAATTTTTGATCCACTCTCCTGACCCAGGCTGTGCAGCAGGAAGGGAGAGGCTGTCAGCACCTCTGCTCCTGTACCAGGATTACCAAGTTCTGCTTCTGAGGAAGTCTGGTCTTGTTCACTGCCTACAAAGGAACCAATACAAATGGATTTGGGGAACTGTCAGGCTTAAAATCACCTTAAGGAATGGAAGCTGCTGTTAATCTTTGAAGTTTCGAAGTATTTTATCTTACAATTTGATCTTCCCTCTGACCATGTGAGCAGCTGGGGTACTTACTCATCAGCAGGACTATTCCCTCCTCAGAAATTTAAGCAGGGGCAAACATCAAGGGAAACATCAAGGGCTGCTGTACAAAAGGATTTTGTTAAATGCTGTTAACTCCTTGCTGTACCCTATGTAAACCTGTTTTCCGATCTTCAGTGGAGACAGTTCAATGATGACAGCCCCAGCTTTAACTTGAAACTCAAGAGCCAGTCTGATGCTGAACTTGGTCCAACAATGTGTGCAAAGTATCCAATAGCTGGAAGTACATTTCAGATTAGGATTCGTTATCAGTTCTAAAACTTACAGACTCGTCAGCATGTGCAGAAGATTTGTAACACATAGTATTTTTCCTGTTTAAGACTGCTCTAGAAAGTATCTAAAACAACTATTCAGATTAAATTTTGCTGAGTGATAGCAACTTAATTTAGTACTTGATAAAGTATGTTCTCAGGAGAGCCTTCCTGTCTTACTGTTGTGAAAGCCCTGTGGTCCACAAAGAAACAAAATAAAAGTATATCTGTTAAGAAACAAAGCCACATTTGTCTGAAGATGGGAACTTAAAAGACTATGAGAACTTAGCTCTAACTATGTAACAATGTGAAACCTTTAAATCCTACAAGGGATAAAAGCCATAAAACTGAATTTTATCGGGCTTCCTTTTATTCTTTATCGCACATTAACAAGTGAAAACCTATGAGCACCAATTTTCTAATTACAATGAGAGAATCCTCATTCTTATGTAGAATATTTAAAAACTAGTATATGTCCAAGTACAAAACTGCCACCTCCTTTGGAATAATTTGCCTTCTATTCCAGATTTTTATGCTTATTATGCTGATATTAGAATTTGTTTTTAAAGCACCAGAAGAAGCACTAGCAATGCATAAATTATGCATGTATAAAAATTATCCCTGTACTTCCCTGTATTTGTTATAAAGGCTGATGGTTCCAACTACTTGCTGTCACAAGCAAGAGTGATGTAAGGACCCCTGGCTTGAGAGGATACTGTTCCTAGACAAAGATGTCCATTGGTGAGGCAACTCTAACGTGTACCATGTGTGCTCAACTTCAGTGAGGGAGAGACAGGAGGAAGGCAGAAAAATTCCGTAAGTAGCCTTGTCTGTGGCCAAGTTCTGAAAAAAAACCAAACAAGTGGGCCACCTGTAGATCTTTCCTACAGGTTGTATACTGCATTTTTGCTTAGCCAGTTGTGCCCAGCACTACTTCTCTTTGATTATACTGAGAATCAACACAGGTAACTCATATATCCCTCTGAAGAAAACAGAATAAACTCTATATAACTCTGTAGAAAAACAATGGAAAACTGCTGAGCATGGTACTGAAACTCCAGAAACCCCTTCTAACCTATATTATTCTATGATGATTCCTTAAGTAACTTTACATTTGAAATTATTAAAAACTGACCCAAAGAAAGAAAAAAGAAAACCACTCAGCAATTATCCACCTCACAAAAATAAAAGCTTTTGGAAATAATTCTGAATAATTGCAAGATTTGTCAAGTCCAGATTTCAAATCACTGTTAAAGGCACAAGCACTAGGTACTGGAGATATTTCTAAAAGAGTTTCTTTTCTAGGTAGCACCTAACAAATACATTTTACAATTGATGTAAACCAAAACACTGTCACTTTGGGATGAGAGAAGTATGTGACCAGAGCATTATGATCAGTAAATCCATCTTGTGAAATGATTTCAGTTTTAGAAATCAAAACCCCGATGGATGTGTAATTAAATGCTTTTAAAATCTCCCAGTCTCCTTCTGCCAAAAGCATTTAAAATCCTTCAAGTCAAAGCACTGCAGATTGCTTTAGAAAAAGAGTTACATACCCTGCTACATATACTGTGAAAAGCATCTGATTTTCTCTGCTACAGAGAAAATAACTATTAGACCAGTTATAGAAAAATAACTACCACCAGGTAAAGACTCCGTAAGAGAGACCTAGTCACTGCAGCACACAACTGTGCCCTATCCATCTTAGGAGAGCAAGTATTCCTTAAGTCATGTCACCAGTATCCAGCTCTTCTACACTGCATCAAGAGACTTCAAAAGGTGCAGAGACAAATGGGGAACTGAGGAAGAGGGAAACAAAGCCCTCTGTTCACTGTCCCTCTGCAGACCAACCCCCTTCTTCCCATACAACATCACTTCACCTAAAAAGCCCACCTTTCCAACTATGTAACTGTCTGCATTGCAACTTCTTTGCTCAAGATAGTATTTGTTTCTATGAACATCCAAGACCATGCAAACAGTTTTCTGTGGAGGAAAAAAAAAATAAAGAAAAAAATTAAAAAATAAAAGACTGCCACATGACACCTAGAAGCGTTTATTTTATGCAACAAACTTAAATATGATCATGTGTACATAAAAGTGTACACTGTATCTATGCTGAACAATGCCAGGAAACATAATATTGATGCAACAATCTTCTAAAATAAACATTAAAAAATGAGCCTGGACAGAAAGACAAAATGCAAAACAGACTTACTTCCAATCAGCACAATGCTTAAAATTGAGAGCAATCCTAAACATTTCCAACTTTCCTTACAAAGCTGCCAAAGTCCAACTATTTTTAAAAATTGATTTTTGTGTTTTCTTTACATCAATAATAAAAATCTGGTGACAAACATTATAAAATCAAATGCTGGACTGTCTTTACTCCTTTCAAATTTTGAATATTCCAACAGAACCGCAGGAGTAAAAACACTTAAAAGTGATATATGTTTTTATAAAACAAACATCAATATGTACATTTATTGCAAATTATATTAAACTAAAATGGAGGGAAAATTAAAAAATGAAATGTCTACTTGCGAATTAATAATAATTTTAAGTGATTACTTTCCCACTCTGATAAAAATCAGAAAGCAACATTTATAAAATTGCCACCACATGACTTTTCATAGCAGGGAACTGAAATCTGTACATCTTATTTTTGCAGAAAAGTAGGCAGGCAGAAAGAATTATACATAAAACAGTCTCCAAAAGTAAAGCAAAAATTTTTTTTGTGATTTTTTTTTTTTTAAATCTCTAGTCTTGTTTAAAACCCATTCAGTAGACTTCTCCTTTTTCTGTGAAATATGGGAATACCTGGCTCTAGGATTATGAATTTTCAATGTCAGTGTAAGGACCCTCTCTGACTTTCTTTTAAAAAAAAAAAAATCACAAAAAAAATTTTTTTTGTGATTTTTTTTTTTTTAAATCTCTAGTCTTGTTTAAAACCCATTCAGTAGACTTCTCCTTTTTCTGTGAAATATGGGAATACCTGGCTCTAGGATTATGAATTTTCAATGTCAGTGTAAGGACCCTCTCTGACTTTCTTTTAAAAAAAAAAAAATCACAAAAAAAATTTTTTTTGTGATTTTTTTTTTTTTAAATCTCTAGTCTTGTTTAAAACCCATTCAGTAGACTTCTCCTTTTTCTGTGAAATATGGGAATACCTGGCTCTAGGATTATGAATTTTCAATGTCAGTGTAAGGACCCTCTCTGACTTTCTTTTAAAAAAAAAAAAATCACAAAAAAAATTTTTTTTGTGATTTTTTTTTTTTTAAATCTCTAGTCTTGTTTAAAACCCATTCAGTAGACTTCTACTTTTTCTGTGAAATATGGGAATACCTGGCTCTAGGATTATGAATTTTCAATGTCAGTGTAAGGACCTTCTCTGACTTTCTTTTAAAAAAAAAAAAAATGCAGCATGAAAATTAATGGTGTAAATACACTTTTAAACTCCAGAATGCAGGAACTGGAACCAAGTGTTAAGCAATTTGCTTAATTATTGACTTTTCATAAAAAAAGTCTCTGGGGAAATAAGTACAGATGCTTTTAGCCTCTTTCTCAAGAGTTTCTGCTTTACATTTCCATCGAGAAGGATTAATTTCGTGTGAAAGGGAAGCATAGTTTTTCCTTCTGGTTTCAGAGCTGAAAGCTGTGTGTTTTGAAGTAATTTCAGTTCCTGTACAGGAAATTTCTGAATCCTAGTTTTTGCAGAAGCTTGGAGCATGCCTTTATTTGGCCTTCACTTCCTCCCTTTTCGAGCGAGTTTTCTTTTTACCTTTGGGGCAGAGGGGACACGGGGGGAGAGAAAAGGAAATAAAAGTTAATTGTAAGGACATTGAAATTAGCATTTATTCTGCATCAAAATCCTACCTATATAATTTACATTTTAGCTTTTACATTCTTTATACTGTGATTCTTGCAACTCCATCTTGTACCTTCTCAACAATTACACAATTGAGTATAACTGAATTGCATTACTGTTTAGAACAACATCCTGATAAACTTGTAAATACACAAGTTGAATAATAATATCATAATTGAGCAATGCTTTTTTCAGCATAAACAGAAATACATTTATCCATAGCTTTCACTAGAATCAGAGAATAAAGATGGCAATCTGCTCTAATTAACTGTATTTAATTACCTAGGTTTACTAAAATAGCCTGTCTTACTTAAGAACAAGCACTACTTCAAATGTTTTTCAAGTATTTACAGTAACTTGTACATTTCTACTTAAAAACAAATAATCCAGTTAGAAACAGTTATTTTTACAGAAACTCTTCTGGAAGACAGATTTCTTTGATTCCTTACTGTATAAGCTACAATAAAAAACACAGAATTGTCCTATACAAGATGCCTGCTACACCTTAAGGAAGCCTCCCTCTGCTAACTCTGTATCCTCAGTATCTTCCTGGCTGCTCCCACAGGCCTTAAAGAGATCCATTGCATTTTGGGAATATTCTGGACTTGAGTCTATCTCCAACAGTGAATCTCCATCACTTCCAAGCACCTGGCTTCTGAAAAACGTTAACAATGTTTGGGTATTTTTTTTCAAGAAATACTGAGGTATTACATATTTTAAAGAAGCTATTTGGTACAGGTGGCTTATTACAGGCTATGGATAGTGCCATTTGTTACAAAGACTGAAAGAAATCTGGTGAATAAAACAAGCATTGCAAGGTAGTACACAAAGAGTACCCTCTTGAAAGATGAACAATTTACTGGTGTTAGGAACCTTGCTGTGAGAGGAAAAGGTGTAATTCTTTTAGATTATGGTTCTCTGAGAGATCTTCAAGTTACAGGATCTCTAGAAAGAAACCATTCCAAGGATTCTTTCTCATGTTGTGATTTCTTTCAGTCCACTGGTTTTCTGACCTTACTGTATGGCTCCACAACTTAGGACTCTTTTGCATTAAAATTATTATTGTATGAGATTCAGCTAACCAAATTTCTCAGTGCTTATGTGAATTTTTTGTTTGTTTATATTGGAAAACAAATCAACACATTTAAACACTGGAGGATATATATAAAAATAAATTATCATCTAAGAGCTGGTTTGTAGTTTACACAGTTCTGTATTCTGCTTTTTATTTACTTGAAATATATATTAAAATAAGTGTTCATAGCAAACAAGCACAGACCCAAAATATCATAAAAGAATGATAGTTAGAAATAGAATTTGTTGTGTTCATTAGAGATGGTCCATTACCAAGCTTTTGTTATCAATGACCTGAAGCAGAAGAGACCACTTGAATTCCTGTGTCCCCAATATTAATGAATGCACTGGAACACCCTCAACTCATTTTTTTGTTTATATACCAAGGCCAGTAAAAGGGGAATCAGGACTAACAGACAAAAAATAAAAGTTGGTAAAAACAGGTTAGATGATCCTATTCCGGCCAGCAAAATAATTTTTCCAATTCCAGCTGCCCTGGTAGTTACTTTGAAAAACAAAACACAACATAAATGTATGTTGGGCCATGACATTTATAGATCATTGTGGTTTAGCTGTGCCCTTTAACTATGCTAGGTCTGTTGTAATTGTGTCTATCGGGAGACGGGAAAGGCTGACCTCACCCAAGTATTTTACAATTTATTTGTTTTTACCTTTGTAGATCAATTTGCCTCTGTGCTGCTGCTGGCTTTTTTGCTGTGTCTTGCTGTTTTGGTGCTTTAGCATTACCTGCCTCTATACTCCCTGGACTTTCTTGACTGACTGCTGCCCTTTTCCTTCCCCTGACAGGTGGTTTATTTGTTTCCTCATTTTTTGCAGTGGTACCCTGAGGTTCAGGTTTGGATGGACGCCCTCTCCTGGTTTTTGCTGCGAGTGATGGTCCTGTTTCATCTACATTTTTTTCTTCTGGTTTTTGATGAATATTCTCAGTTCCAGATGCCGTGGCTGTTCTTTTTTTTCCACGTTCAGTGCTGTTTCCTTGTGTAGCCTGATCAGAATTAATCTCCTAGAAAATAAAAGTCACAAACATGTAGTGAAAAAAAAGATTTCCAAAGGCAAACTCAAATTGCTACCTTGCTCAGACAGAAACATGAGTTTACAAAATAGGAAGTAAGTATTCTTATAAAAACACATCACATGAGCTTAAAACTACTAAGAAGTTTTAGTAAATGGGATTTCAGACTTTGCAAAAAGATCTTCTACACTGTATGCAATGTTCATAATCTGCACACAATGCATCTTGCAGTTGTTTGAAATTAAGATTACAGTGCAACTAATAAAGTCAGCTCCTGCTGTCATGGCTCTTCTGTACAAGCTCCTTTTACTGCCTCTGCCAACTGGCAGGAGAGAACTGAGGAGCAAGAGTAATAATTCCTGTACAGCAAATACTTCAACATATGCAGATTTTGAGACCAAACTTCAGTAAAGGTGCAGATAACTAAAAACCTAAATACAAGTAAAAGGAAAAAACCCCACAACAACAAGGCTTGCAGGGAATAAAAGGGAGTAAGAGCTAGTCACAAATTAAACTTGCTGTCTTTGTTAATTCTTCAACATGTCTGAATAGGTATGGCCTACATGCATGTTTTTCTCATTACACTGAACAAGGTAATGGAAAGTGATTAAATTTCATGAAGCAGTGTCTGTGTATGTGAAACAGAAATGGTGCTGGCAATGCAGGTCTCTACACAGAATGTATTCATATGGGAAAAAAAAAAGAGGAAACTGGATGACAGACCTTAATTTGAACACTGGCTTCCAGAACAGTTAGGAGGAGGGGCAGAGAAAAGGGTACTGAAGAAGTACGGCTGGGATTACTTAGCAATTTCAAACACACCAATTAAGGCCACATGCAAGTGCTGAGTATGAACGAAGAACTTCTTTGTTAAATACTCTCCATTATTTCTTAAATGTTTAAGTAAGTCAGGCAGTGTCTGTAATCTTTATTACTGTTCTAGCAGCTTCATAGAAGATATTTACAACTTCTATTTTAAGAACTTTACAGATAACCACTCTGAAAATTTCAACTCAAGTCAGGTTTCAAGAACCTAGAAAGCATTTTTGGAGATTTAATAAACTATTTGCCAAACCTCTCTAACTTTGCAGAAGCAGCCTATTTTGGGAAAATGAAAAGTAAAAAAAGAATGGAACCATACACTGGAGTTTGGGATTTTTTTCTTTCTCATCAGCTCATGGGTATGAAAATCATGTAAATGATAATTTCAAAGAGTAAGAAACAACTAACCTTTCTGTATGATGATACAAATCCAGAAGACTTGCTTATTACTCTGATTTCATCTAATCAAAAAGACTGAGTATAACTTCTTAAAATGTATACAGCATGAACCATCTATCTATCCTGACAGTACTACAAAAATCTATTTTGATTTCAGAATCACAGAATCATTTAGGTTGGAAGTGACATCTGGAAATCATCTGGCCAGACCTTCTGTTGAAAGCAGGACCTCCGGAGTTATTCAGGGCCCCTTGACAAGACAACCCATGCACAGTGACATTCTACCATTTTTCTGGACAACTTATTCCAGGTTTTTCTTATTTAATTTTCTTAACAATATAGATTTTTTTTTTTGCTTGCATCCAGATGGAATTTCCCCTGAAGCAAATTCTGCATGTAGCAGCCCTGGGAAGAGAGTACTTCTGTCTTTTCCATAAATACCTTTTAGATACTGAATGACTGATTAGATGCCCCCAAGGCTTCTCTTCTCCAGGCTGAACAAACCAAACACTTTCAACCTTTCTTAATATGACAACTGCTCCAAGCCTTTATCATCCTTGTGGCCCTCTGCAAAGCCCTCTGCACCTTTTCTGTGTTGAACTGAGGAGGACACAGAATTCTGGACACAGTGTTCCAGGTGTGGCCTAATGAATGCCAAATAGGGTGAAATAATCAGATCCCTCAGACTGCTGACTACACTCTTGCTGATGCAGCCCAGCTGCCAGCCTGCCCTCACTGCTGACTCATGCTCTGCTGGATGCCCACTGGGATGGTGCCCCAGGTCCTTCTCAGCCCACCTACATCCCAGCCAGCCAGATCCCAGAGTGCTGTACTGCTGCTCAAGTTAAATCTATCCCAGGTGCAGGACTTCACATTTACCATTGTTAGACTTCATTCAACTTCGTAAGTTAAAAAATAATGATGATGTAGGCATGATCTTCTCTCTCTGATGGAAGGGGGGAAAGCATTAAAAATCTTCAAAGCTTAAATATTTTAGTTGTAACACAAGCCAAAAGTCAGGTGTTTGTTTCATGCTAGAGGATCATTTGAAATTTTCCTGGCAATACCTTCAGCTGAAGTTACAGGTGTAAACATTCACTCTGAATCACAGCCTTACTGTTATTTATACTGGAAAGCATAGAATAAAAGTGTGAATCCTTTGGAATTTATAGAAGGAAAAAAAATAAGTCTGTTATGATTTTCCTGTGCTATTTTTTAGCATGAGCTCTCTTTATTACTCTGGATAAAACAAACAGCAGTTTAGAAAATAAGGGATCTTCTCTTGGGCTAGGAAAGTCATAGAACTACATGAAATGAAACTGGATATTACCAGTTCCTCAGAGTCCACCTGCAGTGATGTGTACTGAATAAACCCCCAGTGCCAAGCTTATTATAGAGATACAGTCCACACAATCCCCAGACATACCTTTTTCACAGGTTCTGTCTTCGCTGGTGTGACTGAAATAATCCTCACAGGATTTTCATCATTTTCACTGACCCCCGTCTCTGAAATATCTGAGCTTTGTTCCCTGGTAGCATAATTGAAGAAAAAATAAAACCAAAATGCACAAAACAATGGAAGAAAAATGTTTGCAATTATTAAAAAAAAATAAATTAAAATTGCAGACAGGCTAAATTAGTTTCAAGAGTTGAATTTGCCTGAGTTCTCTCCCAGAACTGGGAAAGGTTTGAAAGGGCTTGGCTAGTCCCTGAGCCAAATCCCTTATCACAGACACAAAGCCATGGAATTCTTTTTGCAAACTGAAGACCAATGCTGTAAAAGAGGCTGTGTTCTTTTTCCAGATAGAAAAAGCCAATATGGGCAAAGGTAGTGAAGAAAAATAAAGACCAACAATGCTGAAACTTCAAGTTAATTTACACAGAGTTACAATAGTTTTAAAAACAAAATAGTTAAAAAATAATCAAGATTATTACAGCATGTATCATGCACACATACAGAACAAGTTCTGAACTGAGTTGTAATTCCCTTTGGTCTTATGAAATGTAGTAACTGGAATTGACTTTCTCTACTTTCTTTAACCCTTTATCTTAGCCAGTTAATAAATTCCAAAACAAATTAATCTTAAATTTTGAAAGTGTAAGCTATTTCTCCAGATGTAGGACACATTTTGAAACTCTGGATCCACATAAAAATAACACTAGAAGAAAGACCAGATATTACAATCATATGTTGCATCTTTCCACTGAGATCCTGGTCCTCTTCAACAAGCTCTTTTTAACTGTTCTTAATCTTAAATAGGTCAGAATATTTCATCTACATCAAAAATGTTTCTTGTTACAAATCAGGATTAATCCTAATTTATACACAAAAAATGTGAGCTGCAAAATCTGTTTAGTATTAATAATGGCTGGTCACTTCAGTGAATGTATTTTCTGATTTAAAAATATGACGAATATTAACCACTGAAATTTCAGACAGTATGTGCCTCTTCTGTTGTATTTTATGTGATTACAGGCAGGCCACACCTAAATGCTGTACTCAGTTCTTATCTACTAAATCTCCCTCCCCAAAAAATCAAAGAGGATGACTGTATTTTTTTTAGCTGGACAAAACAGAGACACTCTTCAAACACACAGACATGCCCAACAAATCATCTCCTGTTCTAAAACATGGAAGCACTGGAGAACATGAAGTAAAAATAGCTGATGAAACACATTTCAAACTTCTGTACCTTGATCTGTTTCCTGCAGAAGAGCTCAGCTCAGAGTTCACACTGATACTGCTTCCAGTCTCTGATCCTGTAGTTCTAATATATGGTCTCCTTCCAGTTGCAGATAATGGTTTGTTTACTGTACCTAATACAGCAGTTGGTTTTGGCTAAAAGAAAATGTTAAATCTTAAAAATGAGAACATCAGATACGTATTTAATTTTTAAACTATTTTCTTGAGTATTTGAACATACTTTTTCTGGATTTACAGTCTCAATCATGGTTCCACCAATTTAGAGGTACAGACCTCATCTGCACTTAAAAATAATTTGTCTGCCCTACTTTTATTTCTCATCACATAACAACACTTCATGAATTACTTTCTCTCACACTTTACAGGGATAGCAGGTAGAGAAGTCTCAACAAAACCCATAATATTAGAGAGTATTAGAGGAAAAGGAGTGTCAACATCCTGTATTTTCAAAACAAAACACCTCTGGGAAAGGCTTTCCAAAATGTGAGTCAGAATTAGGTTCACTAAAAGAACAGAACATGTGTACACTCACTATGCAGCAAGTCAGTGTAAAAATATTGAACAACATCTATCTAGTCTGGGGTTCCCTGATACAGTGATGGTATTTTACAGTGTCTGTTGACTGATCTGGTTAGGCTGGATAGGCAGTAGAAGTTTTTTTTATTTTGTCTCTGGAGAAGTCATGGACGTTTTCATAACTGGCATGTCACGTCCTTCATGTAATTTTACATTTCCTCAGAGACCAAGCTAATTTATGAGACATTCTCATAAGAAAATTTCATTCCCATGTGCTGAAGTTATATGAGGGAGCAGGCAGGAGAAAGGTACCACAGATACTGCATCATTTACTTAAATATATTATTCTTACAATTATTTATTTGCTCTATTTATTGAGTATTTTATACAAAGTAGGAAGCATTTGGTGCAACTAATAGGAGAGAGGCACCTACTGCCACATGAGACTGTGAAGGCAGAGCACTGGGAGGTTCAAAACCAGAGCAGATAAATATGTGAACAGGTCCATAGCAGGCATTAAACCCACAGGCACAGATGCAGTCTAGCATCCTGTTATAAAAGATTGTAAGTGCTGGGGGAGTGCGAGGGGGAATGTACTGCAGAAAGTGGCTAGACTTGCATGTTCTCCCTAATCAATGTTGTTTTGGTCCCTCTGGAAGAACAATACCAGGCCAAAAAGGACCGCTGGTCTGAGTCAGTGGGATATCTTTATGCATCTGTGTTTTCCAGAACAGAATTAGGTAGAAAAAGCTGCAAGTGTTTGTGCATTCTGTTAGAGCATGGAATAAATGTCTGTTTTCTGAAACACTGAAAATTATCTAAATAGTACTAGCTTGATTCTATTACATCCCCCTCCCCTCCAGTATTTTAAAAGAATGCATAAGAAAAGCAAATAAATAATATGCAACAATTTTTAAGTTACAACAAAGCTAAATGCCTTATCAAATGATATGTATTAAGTTCATACATCCAACTAAACCCATTTCAAAGTTATAAAAGCTTAATTAATTACATTTGCATGTTATCAAAGGTGAAACAATTAGCAGCAGCAGACAGATACACATTTCTGAAGATATTTAAAGCACTAGTCTGGTACTTGCTGCTGAAGAAGAACATGGTCTTCTGTCAGATTCCTCCTCTCCTAAGATAATGCTACCCCAGCTCACTAAGTAGCATCCAGTCTGGGGTCACAGAGTGAACACAAAGCAAGAAGAGGCAGGATTCTGCCAACTGAGCAAACCTCACCCATGTGAGCTGCTCTTATAGCAGAAACTTCGTATAAATGAAAAATCCGTGTGAGAAGAAGCAATTTTAAATTATAATGGCTATTTACAGAGGCGTAATTTGTCTCTACCCTCAGAATGACTAGCACAAAGTCTGCTCCAGCTGAAGACTTCAGAAACTAATGCAGTAACAGTCCATGGAACATGAAAATTGATATAAATGCACATTAAGTTTATACTAAAAACATATCCTGTTCTCAAAATTTTTATGTTTTACCAGTCTGCAAGCATTCTTCCACTAAGCTCAAGAAAAAGAAAATGCCAATTTTTTTAAGCTGAACAAAAAAGTTTTCCAATGTTTAAAAAAGACAATTTCAGAATCCCCAAAAAAGGACAGCTGATGGAAAAAAAGGTGTGTGTGTATAAATCAAAAGGCTCTGGTTTTTATGCCTGTTTTTGTGGTGGTTTTGGTTTGGTTTTGTGTTTTTTTATTGTTCTCTTGCCCCAGCCCCCAGCTTGATGTTTTTTCTCCCTTGCAAAGTTATTAACCAAATAATGTCTGAAACAAAATGGGAAGCTCAAAAGGGTGTAGCAGTTATATACAACAGCATTAATTGCTATATTAAAAAATTCAAGATTGAGAATTTAATTATCTGCACCATAATTTCATGCCACGCTTATTTGAATAAGGAAAAACCTGTAGCTTTGTGAAAACTTGTAGTTAAGCAAGCAGCTATGCCTCAATGCACAGGTAACAACCTTGGGGTGTTGCGTACTCACCAGGTATTATGCTAAAAGACATGAATCATGCCATCAGAGAAAAGACTCATTAATTATGGTACACAAACTCTTCATACAATTTTTAAACTACAGCAGACCTGGATATGTAAAACAAATCACAAGTAATATTCAAAGAACTGTAACTTGTCAAAATACAGTACCTTTCCTGTCAAAAGAAGAACCCTTGTCTCTTCTGAAATATAATTCCTGTCATTGCAGAAATCCTGTATAAAAATTAATTAAAAAATCACTTTGTGTTTGATCTCTCAATCTTGCTGTTGGTATATATATATATATAACTGATTTCTCAAATTAGATGCTACTATCAAGTGCTGAAGATATGTTGTACCATGTAACCTGACAAATGAATCAATCTAATAAAGAGAGGTCAAACTAATATTATTAAGGGTTGTAGTGAGGACCACTGAATGACAGTATGCCAGACTTGAAGTTGGGATTCATAGTTTTTCTTCTTGAATGACATGAATCATTTGAAGTGAAGCAAAACTGCCAATTTTTTCAACTTGCATCTTTTAATGGGAAGGCCAAAGAGAGAAAAAAAGGTGCCGTTTTCTTTTACAAGTTTGAAGTTGGTACCTTTGTCACTCTGAGTTCAGTTTACACAGACCAAAACACTAAACTGAATGCAGGTATCTATCACAGGCAGCAGGCTCCCTGTCACCATGGCATCTGCCATTTCACAGTTAAATAAGCAAACTAAATTTTTCCTAAACAGACTCTGGAAAAGCTGTTCAATTTAACAGTCTAAGACACTGAATAATGTGAAATGTGTTCTTCAAGTACTTCTTCCACACATCAGGTCTAGCCCAGAGAATTACTCTGGTTCCACTTACACCTTTAGAAGCATGCCTCTTACAGAACAGCAGTGCTACTGCTGGCAGTAGAGCTAGACTCACCAAGACTACGACTAGGCAGTAGAAGGATCAACTTGCACAGCAAGCAGAAAAGCCAAACAGCTACTGACAGAAACATACCATGGATAATTCCCTTCTTTTTTTCTGCTTTGCATTCTAACTGAGATATCCAGACAGAATATACATATATTCTCATATATTCAGTATATTCATTCATTATACAGGTACACTTGTGAAACACTTTAATGAAATTATGAAGCAATACATGCTAACGTATCAGTATCTATTCTAATTAGCTCTCACGTGGTTACAAACATTTCTGGCACATGTACATAAGATATAGGTAGCATAGCATATAGCCAACCTTAAAGAATTAATTGCTGAGGATAAAATACAGGCATTTTCCCACTCATGGCATTACGTTATGGAGATAACCAGCTCTCAATTATAAAAAACAAAGTATTTTCTCTTATTACTTTTGAAATTAAACTTAAAAATTTACCTTTTCAGGTTGTGTAAAGAATTTGGTTGGCAATACAGGGTCCTTTGGTGAATCTGCATTGCACAAAGCACTTTTGCTGTTGATTACACACAGTGCTACATCACATACTGTATAAAGTTTCTGAAAAAGAAAGAGAAGTATGCTTTAGGAATTTCTTACTGATTTTACTGTGTACAGAGAACACAGTTCTTAAAGAAGTTTAATCTATGTGTTAAAGTAACCACCACTAAGAACATGTTTCGTAATTACATCATTAACCATACTTGTTGGCTTTCCACACACATACAAAAGTCCCCATTTTTCATATGATACTACTTAATAAAAGCTAGTAATATTTTACATGCATATTCTGTACAATAGAAGCTCTTGCTTCATCAAATCACTACAAACGGTTTCTCATCTCTGCTAGAAAATAATAGGTTGAATAGCACACGTAATACAGTACTTGCCTCACCAGCAGAAGATACTTATGTAGGGAAAGAGAAGTATGCTTTAGGAATTTCTTACTGATTTTACTGTGTACAGAGAACACAGTTCTTAAAGAAGTTTAATCTATGTGTTAAAGTAACCACCACTAAGAACATGTTTCGTAATTACATCATTAACCATACTTGTTGGCTTTCCACACACATACAAAAGTCCCCATTTTTCATATGATACTACTTAATAAAAGCTAGTAATATTTTACATGCATATTCTGTACAATAGAAGCTCTTGCTTCATCAAATCACTACAAACGGTTTCTCATCTCTGCTAGAAAATAATAGGTTGAATAGCACACGTAATACAGTACTTGCCTCACCAGCAGAAGATACTTATGCAGGGAAACTAGGCAATACGAGTTAAAATAAGGCAGGTAGGCAGTAACAGGAAAATTTAACAAATTCTCTTTAGTACCTTCCTTAAGCACTGTGTGCTGGGTAAGGTAAGAGAGGTTCTGAGAGAATGAGATTGGCAACATACAGACAATGCTTGCAATTAACACTTTAAAAGACCATAAAAACATCTGAGCCAGTGCTTTCAGATTTCCTGCAAATCCTGTTCATCGACTGCTTGTGAAACCCTCAGCCCATCACCCAACACATATCCAAACTGCTTTTCTTACTTCATTGGCCTTTGGCTCATCAGGAGACTGAGCATCTCGAGTAAGCTTGATGTTTTCTGCCATTTTTTTCATGAAGGCATGACTATTGTTCTCATTCTTTGTCATTAAAACTTCAAGCATGAACCACAGGCACCTAAGAAGCCATAAAACCACAGGCAATTACATTCCAGCTTTTATACCGCAGCTCCCACATATAACAATGTCTTAAAAATTGTCAGCTATACTAGCTTTTTCTTAAGAAACCACAATCAATCTGAAGATATAATGAAGAGATAACATCATCTAAAGGTGTAAATAGAGTCTAGACCTTAAACACACAGAGTCTTAATTGTACTCTTTGGAATAAATCTGCCAAACTAGAGTGCTTCTCCAGTGTATCTGTAAGCACTGGCTAACCAATCAACTTTTTCTCTTCCAAATATGAATAGAAGCAAAAATTCTGGTGCTACCATCATCTAGATGAAATTCTGCAATCATTACCTTGGACTTTGTCTATGTTCCTACCAACAATGTACCATGTTTGTACTCAAAACAGGTCATCAGATTTTTACTAATGCTCCATATGGGAGGAAAAGAAATTCTTACAGACAGACAAAAGGGAATCAGCTTTCCTATTTTTATTTCTTTATATCTAGTTTATTTAGAGAGAACCCATTATATTTTGACTAGAAGTTTGTTTTACGGATTTTTCAATGATGATATGACGCACACCCACCCTATCATTTGCTATCAAGTTTCAGATCTGCATGTGGCTAGAGGGTCAACAACCATCACAGTATGGTAAAATAATGCTTATTTGGGAAAGACATATGGGTGGATCTTAGAAATGCAAACGTGCCACTAGCTAATTTAATTCTGAATCTCTGGAAGAAAGATTACCTTGTAGAAAGAGGGTAATAAAAAACTAGAAAAACAAGATGACTGAACACTAGAATTCCCTGTCCCCAAACCTCTTAACTGATACAAATTACAGACTGTAAAGCAAGAGATGAAGGAACATTTATCTCAAAAAATCCAAAGCAAAAGAGGATTGTGCTTCATCAATACACTTAAATAGTTATCTGGTGTTCAAACAAAATAAAGCTTCTATATTCTGACTTACATCCAAATAGCTAGATACCTGTACATCCACCTACTCACTATTCTTAGTAACTTAAATGGGATGAATACAGGACCGACAACATACCACACTGCCCCCGCTTCTCCAAAACATTGTGTTGTCCAAAGATTATTATCGAGGACAAATTTTAGTCTTGTAATTCCAGTTAACACAGGACAACTTCTGTAATTTGATTTCCTCACTAAGTCATTAAATAAAATAAATAATAATAAACCCCCAAGACCTTTTCAGAAAAACAGTGGGTTTTCACACAGAAAAAAAAGAACCCGGAAGAACACAGTCACATAAAGTAAGATCATTCTCTGTATCCATTTAAGTATTTTTGGAATATGAATTCAGAAGAAACAGACACCGTGTCAAGACAAAAGAGCAAACTCAAACTCAAATATATATCTGTAGAACAAGCTTAAAAAAATTCCTAAGAATAAATATCATAGCTTATGGTTAAGGAACTTGCTAATCATGTCACACTTCACGTGACTGTATTCAGGCCATGTAAAAGCCAGATGAACTAGGGAAAAACTAGAGAACACATTGCCAGTCTGCTTTTCCAAGTTTGCAAGCATCTATGTTAATACTTTGAAGTGAAAACTATGACTCCCAGGACTCTTGAAAAGAAACACTGTATTGCATTATATGACAAAAATGTCTCAGGAGACTCTTCAAAGAAGTATTCCTGCCAAGTTTCCTGTACAGAGTATTTCTTTGTTTGGAGCAGTCCTCTGGCTAGTTCAGCCAGACTGTGACAAACACGAGGGAAGAAATTTGACAACAAAGGACAGCTATACAACGGGTGCCCAAAAAAGCTCTGTGCACTAGAAAGCACTTCTCAGAGAAAGTATTAACAGCAGCAAATCAGAACTTGTTCCATGCATTCTGGATAAAGTACAGGCTGAAGAGTGCTTTCAGATGCTGCCAAGAACAGGGAGTCCTGGAACAAAATGTACACTTGATGATTAGGTAAGAAATCTTCACTGACTCCAGGTCCTGACCAGGTGTAGTCAACTAACTCAGAAATCAGAACAAATTAATTATTTCATTTAAAGAAAGAACCACACTTGGACTCTCACAGGTGAAGGTGCAAAAAGAATTAATATGTGATCTAATCTATTTGTGCCAAGAATGAACTGCTTTTCTCATGAGGTATATTGAAGTATGTGGTTATAAATGTCTTTGCAATACCAAAACAACACAGCTCCACCAAAAATAGGTAAAAGAAAAAACCAAAATGCTATAACTAAAGCTGGGGAGGATGCTATAAACATTTTTTTAAAGTGTTAAGATGTAATGAATTAAAAATAAGAGTTACAACACAAAGGAACAAAAAGTTATACTTGGGTATACAAGATTATTTAAGCCATACCTCAGTACGCTTCAAGTACATGACAAGCTTCTGTAGGACAGGCTGCATACAATAATCTGTGCGGAATAAATTAAGAAGCACCAGGGCTGCACTGCACATATACAGTGCAAGTGATAAATGAGAAGCAAATTTAGCATGAATTCTAGTAGGTTTGCATAGGGGAAGGAGAGAAAAAAAAAAAAGTTCCCAGTGAAGCAGGAACCTGACCCAGCATCAGTGGCATTACATTTTAAAGTATTGGAGAAGCTCTGTATTTTGTAAGTTCCAAAATATCTGAACTGACATTACTTGGCATCTCTTTAAGTGTTTTGGGAAATTCTACAGAGATTCCTAAGCACAAATACAAAAATCTGAACCCACTACTTCACTTTAAAAGAAGCCTAGAGAACTCAACTTATTTGGCATACTTCGGTGTGGCCTACAGGCTTTCAGAATACACTAAGCAGTTGCTAACACCTTCTTCCCTTGGTTAAAGTGTTCTACATTTCCAAGAATACTGTTTTACAAAACACTTTTGATAAAAACCAAAGAGCGCCTCTTCCTATTCAGTTTCTTCCAAGTACAAAAAAAATTCACAGCATAACAATTCCAGAATCACTTGACACTTACTCTTTGACATCACGAAGCTGATCAACATCCTGAGGTTTTGTGAAATCTGGATCATGTGCCAGTAAGTGAATCATATACGGTACCACATATTCAGGCAACAAGGATAGCAATTTTTCTGCAGTAACAAAAAATCATAAATACCCTCTATATTATAGACACATGCATCACAAGAAACACTTTTTCAAAGTATTACTTTTTCAAATAATGGAATGTAAAATTTCAACTTGCATTTTCTTCCTACAAATTTTACTTTCAATGAATCATTAAAAATCAATGAATGCGTTTTACTACTACAAAACTACCTGGTCTTACTTCAAGAAGTTCATAAAGACTAAAAAAATCAAACCCCAAAACTTCATTTTTTGAACAAAACAGCATTGTATTTTATATGTATAATTGTCAGCAAAGTACAGAAGTATTTTATGGTTTATGCTAATGCTAAAACTAAGTAAACTTAGAGCTGACTGTGTCTAATATAAACATGAAGAAACAAATTAAACTTATCCAGTGTTTCTTTACAAAAGCAATTTACTTAAGTTCTAATGATTGCTCACAGAATCACAGAATTGCTGGAATTGGAAGGAACCTCTAGAGACCATCTAGTCCAATTCTCCCACTGAAGTAGTATAACCTAGAGCACTTTATACAGGACTGTATCCAGGCAGGTTTCGAGTATCTCCAGAGATGGAAACTCCACAACCTCCCAGGGCAGCCTGTTCCAGTGCTCTGTCACCCTCAGTGTAAAGAAGTTTTTCCTCATGTTGATGAGGAACTTCCTGTGTTCCGACTTGTGCCCATTGCCCCTCGTTCTGACACTGGGAACCTACTAAGAAGAGCCTGTCTCCATCTTCCTTGCACCCCCCCTTTACATACTTAAGATACATTAGATACTCCTTCCAGTTTAGTATTTGACTATTGTATTCTTAACAGTCTTACGGAAACACTGACCATTAGCCATAGGATTCTGCTTAATATATTCTCGTCGTATACTGATGTTTTTGAGCAAGCACTGTCTGGCATGCGCTCTTCTCTCTTTCACAGGGTCTTTGGCACACAAAGCAAAGATTGCCATATATTCCAAAGGGAGTAATAATTTCACAAGTGCCTTATGCAGTTTCTGGGCAAATATCTGCCTCACTTGGTAGCACTCATCCTGTGGCAAAATAAAACATAAGAGTATAACCATTAAAATCTTGGTCTGTCAAAAAAAAAAAGAATTCAGGGTGGAATTATAGGGAGACATTTTAAAAAGATCAACAGGTGCAGCATAATAAATATTTGAGATTTCATTAACTCTTCTGAAAGCTGCAATGAGGAATAAAGAACACTCAATGTAGCTCAGATGTAAGGACTCTGAATTCAATTAAGAGTCAGTTAATTTCAAGTGCAGTTACTTACATTAATGACAAGTGCACAGAGCTGGAACTGCTCTGGGGTAATTATTTCATGGTAACAGGGCTCCTGTGCAAGCTTCATTATTGCACTACCAGCAGCTAATCGCAGTCGAGACATGTCTGATTTACTATACAAACATGAGGGAGGGGAAAAACACAACAACAAAACAAAACACCACAAATTAAAACCCCACAACTCACCACAACTATTCTTAAATTATCTGCATGTCATGATTTCTTCTTCTTGCAAGATCAATGAGCCATTAAAGTTTTTCTCTGTCAGGTCAGATCACATTTCTATAACTTCAGGTCAAGTACATTAACCCAACCAAATGCAAGAAAATAAGGTGCTCTGCTTTCCCCAGATAAAAACGAATTCCAGTAAAACAGTGAAAGAGAATAGTAAGGTTTCTTGTTTCCATATCACTGTCTCAACGAAAGTGACATGTTAGCTGCAGATTGTCTCTTTCTTTCACCCTCAGAATGAAGATGAGGTATGACTACTTCACTGTTGAAATGAAGATCACCCAACTCCTGTGTTATTCTTCATCACTCAATTGTTTTCAAAGACACTTCTGGAAGTCTTTTACTCTCTAGAATGTCATTTGCTATCAAGATATTTAGAGGGTTCTGAGATTCTTAGTAAATTGCAAGAGGGGATATAAGCATATTTTTATACCATCATTCCACTCCTAAAATTAGAACTCCAATAAGATCTGTCTTCTATCATTCCATTAGCCAACAACGTGCTCACCTTAAAATTCTAAAAAAAAAATCTCCAACAGAATTATTAGTCTTTGAAACTCTATAACAAAATTGCTGGAAGACTGAAAGGAACAAAACCTGACCTGATTCGCTTCTGTTCTGTCAAGTCTCCTTCACTGACAAGCATGGCTGACAATAACCGGAGGGTGGAATTCGCAGATTTCGACTGGTTGTTTTTCATACCCAACAGCCAACGTACCAAAAGCTTAATTGCTTGCACCTATCAAACATGAAAAAAATCAACAACACACTCAACTCCTAAGCTTGGCAAGGCACTAAAACCTACTCTGTCAAACTGAAATTTCCATAGACTCCTATTTATTAGAGCTGATACATTCTTAAAGTAACAGAAGGAAGCAGTGAATATTTACAGAGTGAAGAAGGAAGTAGCAGTCTTTGTGGCATCAGGACATTTCAACTACGGTTCAGTGTCTTCTCACAAGTGCATCTAGAGGATGCAGGATACTTGCTACATGATTAAAAATAAGAGCAACTAGATAAACATTTCTAGAAGTGGCCATAATTAGATTCACAGTAAATAGCCTATAAAGATGAAAGAATAAAATTTATTTCAAGTCTATTTACAGTCAGTAAAGTCAAATTATCTTTTTTGTAAGAAAAACTAAAACTTTTGAAGCTTTTAATTTTCTTAACATTCAGCATAATTAAAATGGTAAGTGAAGACACCAAAATGTATAGTTTCTATCAGTCCTATAACTGTATGTATAGTCCACAAAAACTCCAGAACACTGCATATTTTAAGGAAACTAATACAAAAGTACTCAAAGGGATTTGTTCTAATACTCTCTATTGCACAGCTTGGAAAAAAGTAAACTTTTAACCTCAAATATACACATTATTATTGAGAGTAGATCATTCACCTTTGCTAGTACTTCTGGAGAAACTTCTTCATCTGGAGACCACAACTTTCCGTTTTTCTCACCTGTTGACTACAGACATTCATGTAAGTTTAAGAACTCGTTCAACCAATATAGAAAATGCAGATGTAAAAATGGAAAATGCCACAGCCTAAGCTTTCTTTCACACAAGGATATTTTATAATGCAATTATTAGTGTAGTCGCCACATATAGAACATTCACTTACTGACTCAATAAACAAAAAAGATCTCTTCTCCATGAAGTTAGTAACAGGCAAACAGAATAGTAAGGACTTATCAAAAAACTTACCCTGTCATTCATTAAGAGGTCTTTCACAATGAAATTTGCAACAACAGATTTCATTGGAGAAGCAAACTGATCTGGAGCCAACATAGAAATATGACCCAATGAGACTAACGGAGTTATAAGTTGTTCTGGTACATCGGCATTCAAACTTCTACTAAGAGGCTGAGGAAGGAAAAAATAATAATTCAAAATTCAACTACAGATATGAAAGCTAGCATGCCTAAAAATAGTGTATTTTTCTTCTGCATTGCTGATGCGTTTCACAGTTTTCCATAAGAATTAATAATGTTAGCAAATCAAGATGGAGAAAGAATGCTATTTTCTAATTAACAGAGTAACAAAAAATTTCACATGAGATAAGGGCAAATCAGATTTTATATTCTCTTCCTCCTTCAGTAGTAAAACATATTCCATCCTAGGAGACACAGGAAGAACTCTTGACTCGATTTTATTCGGATCATGAAAACCTGTATCATAACTGCAAATGGCGCAAAATATAAAGGAAGGTTAAAAAACCTTGGCAACCACCAGGGACATTTCTATTAGTGATCAGTATTTCCCTTTGCTGGCTTAATTCAAAGCTTTTCACACTTTTCAATTACGCACAGGTTCAAAGATAGCCAAGCTTAAGAACCAAAGATACTGTACAAGTGGAGTTTAATAATGTTACTATTTAAGAGACTACAGTGAAAAATAACAACCTCTCTGCTCTGTGAGGTGACTTTTTGCTTTACAACTTGTCTAATGAAGCAGTTAAGTGAGCAGTAAGCTAATGTCTGAGCTATAGTCAAGTAGTTACTCTGCAATAACCTCCCCAGTGAGAAAGTACTGTATGTGCAAAGACCCTGAAGCACAATAAATTAATACAGTTTGAAAGTAGAGAATGTTATCTCTCATTTACTATCTGCTAAATGTGTCCTCATGGGATTTAGTGTGGCTTATTCCAGTATGCTTAGTTTATTTTCCCCTAACTTTTCCTGTGTACATAAAAATAACTTATCTGTCAGACATTAGAATATTACAAAATTGTGGCTTTAAGACACAAACAATAATAACGTGCTATTGTAAAATGAATTACTTACCTCGACTACCATACACCTGTAGGCTTCCTGACCTCATAAATTGTTAATGAACAGTATTAATTCAATTAATGTTATTGACGAGTATCAATTAAGAACAGCAGAAACAAATCTTAAAAACTAAAAGCAAGACATACCTCAAATATCTGTGCAAGCTGCACTTCTTTATTTGAAAATATGGCATGTATACAGTGAACAGCTTGTTTTGCCTGATGAGGAGTGCCTCTTTTTGCTTTCTGATGCAAAATCGGAATTAGTGTTCTGTAAACATTAAATGAAGTACTTCAAAATACAATTTGCAATCTATAAAATACACAGCTTCTCACCTATACAAATATATCCTCACCATCTTATAAATCAAGCATTTCTCTGAAGTCTGTTCAAGGAAGATCATAATCATGAAGCAAAAAGCAGGATGGAATTGTATTTAGTAATACTTGTGGAATATCTTACTGTACATATTTAAGCAGAAAAAAGCCCACAGGGAAAAATCAAATATGAAATAAAGTAATGATCAAAATAAGGCTTCTTAGGAAGTCAAATACAAGGTGGGGGAACATGACAGGCCCAGACAGGGTAAACTCCTGGGTTTCTCATCCAAGCTTGGAACTGACAGTGCTGAAAAAAATGTATTAAAAGCTAGGAATGCCTACTAAGTATCAGTGCATTATAGGCCTTTACTGCTTTAACTATGGTCTTCAATTGCAATGTATACTCAAATGAATGGAGAACTGTTTTCTGAGCTTTTGCATTTGAATCCCCCAAAATCTGCTGATCAGAGGCCACCAATGTAAAAAGCAGGGTTTTGGCTTTCAGAACATTAACCTGACATGCTTGCAAACCATGCCAAGAGCTAGACCTCCATTTTGACAGTGATTGTTTATGTTATTTGAGACTTGGCTCACTTGGTTAAGGCATGAAGCCAAAAGAAACATCAGCAATACCAGGCTCCTTTGACAGAAGATGACACACTCCAGCAATGCAGTCTTGACTAAATCCTAGTAGGGAACTATAGAAAATTAGGACTATACAGGCAACTATTTTGACAATGGGGATTGCTGTGCTTTTCTTTCTCTTCACCCCTACAAATATCTTATGTAGTGTCTCATATGTGAACTTGTAATGTTTTCCTTTTTCTCAAAATCTGATTCAAACTGTAAGAATCATTGAGGTTACATCTTCAGTTCATTGAGAACTTAAGGTGTACACTGGTATGCATTTTTGCATAATAATAGCTCCCATGTTATTTCAATATGAGAACTTGAAACCGGTGTTTTATAATCTGCATCAGCTAGTTACTAACAGGCTAATTTTAAGGTTTTAGATGTTACCCACAAGGTTTTAAATAGTCTGTGAATATCTAATAGATTATGCAGCTTTAATCAGCAGTTAAAGCATGAATTGCATAATGACAACTTATAGACAGCAATTATTCTTTGTTAGAAATTCATGCCTGCTTTTGGATCTTGTTCCCCAACTTGTTTCATAACAAACAGAGCTGTTAGCCATCAGAGATTATATTTTTGTTCCCTACAAAGACAGAAAAATTGTGTGAAGGACAGATATGAGCAGAAATTATGCCAAGAAATTACAACTTTGCCATATTTTTGCTGCTTCTTATTTCTGTAACCTGGGAAACATGCTACGCACTGTCTTTCATTCGTCCACTATAGGAAGATTTTAAAGGGGTCCATAACATCGTCAATGAACACTCGAAAATGAATGCAGAATGCAGAATTTAAATTTGAAGAGACAGAAATGTAGTGAAGGAATACAAACTGATGGAAGAGAAGCAGTTCATATTTACAAGACTATAACGTGATTTTATGGGCAACACTGAATAAAATATCAAAACGTAGAATTCCAGGTGTGAAAAAGCAGCACATTAAGAAATACACTCACGATCTTATCTGTGGCAAGTCTGTTTCTATTTTGTGACCCGTGTTTCTGAAAATCTGTATGGCTGCCTCAGCTACTTTATCATCTTCCATCCTGAGGCACTGTAGCAGAGACTCATAGGTTTCTGCAGAGTGGAACGAGGTAGGATGTGTAAAGGACAGAACCTACAGATACACATTAAAACAAAGGTATATTTATTAATGGGAAATGAATCATCAGAAAAACAAAATTGTGGCTGTTTATGAGCATTACTATCAACATAAATAGCTAATACATGCTCATAAAAGATCGTTACATTCAAAAAACTGCATTTTGGAGAAGGCAATATAGGGATTTTCAAATAAAAAACTCATCTATGCTATTTTCTTCAGGTCCTCCCTTCCTCCAAATGTTTTACAAGATAGCATTTTATTTGAATATGTAAAAAATTAAAATGAACACATTTTGAAGACTAGTTAAGAATACTTTTTTCAACTTAATTTAACTGAGCTGAGATCTTAAGTTCTCCAGAATGAGAAGTCCCTGAGCAGAAATCAAGGTTAAGGTATCTACAAACAATACACAGATTACTGTCCTTTCGATCTAAACAAGAGAAACATCAAATAAGAAATTAACCACACAGAGCTTCAAGGCAGGAGAAGAGAGAACAAAAAGTTATCCCAAAGTAAAACTATATTAAGCATAGTAAAGTTCAGATAACATAAGGTAGGGAGAGCAATAAAAAGTTGCGTGTATCTTGTGTATTCTTCGGATTTATCTTATCTTGGTTTCTTTGATCAGAGTGGCCTATTTGCGCAAGTCTCAATGTGTGAGATAATATTCTCAAAGATACCCACGTCACAGCAACCAATCTTCAACCTTGGCAGATTTCTGAGCTACATTAGCAAACACACGATACTTCCCTGCATACTTCTGTATAACTGTTTCTACCATGGTTGCCATTACCAAATTTGGTCTGATATGTCTCCAGAATCTCCCCTTTGTTCATTCACACTTCTGAATAGTCTCTCCTTAATTCTGTAATCTTCCCCTTCATTCCCTCCTATATTTTATACTGCCCTTTGTAACGTACTCAAAAGAAAGTATCATTAATTAACTGCCAAATCCACCCCAGATGTTTTCCAGGTATTTCAAATCCTTCTTTCTCCCCCAGCAACTTGCTACGACCACTGAGAACACGAGTTCCCCATCCTCTTTTTTTTCCTCTACACAGCTTGGCTCTCGAGTTTATTGCTTGGTTTTCTTTCAGAATCATACAGGCCTCAAAGAATGTGCCTCTTCCAGTTTTCACATTTCTCTTCCTCCCATTTTACCTCTGCACCTTCTTCTGTATGACTTCCCTAAGCAGAAACTGGTTTAATTTCTACTTTAGTATGTGTACTTGAACTCTTGGCACCCTTTTCAAAACATACTTTTTCCAAAACTCATCTCTTTCATTATTCTTTTCTCAAGTGAGTATTAATAACAAAACACTTTCACACATTAAAAAAGTAATTATCTAAATAATAATTATTAAACCCATGCTAACATTAATTTGTTAGTCATACCACTTTTGTCCTTTCCATTACAAACTATAGCTGCATGAATGCAGATTACCTTGAGAAGTTCAAGTCCTGCACGAATAGCAGTATCAGGACTTACACCCTCCTCTTCATCATCAGCTGTCCCCTCTATGGATTTATTCATAAGTTTTACTAGTGCACTGAAATAAGAGATAAAGAAAAGAAAAAATCATGTGACAATGTACAATATTAAAGGCTGGAAATACCAGCCAGATGTCTTTTTTACACACAAAGTAAAGGGAAGGCAATAGTCCATTGGGAGAGAGGTGTTGTGGTGTTTGTTTTTTTGTTTAAGGTTTTGGGGTTTTTTTAATCAAGCTATTCCATTATTCTTTTTCCTTCTGACTTAGCTTTCTGCAAAATTAATTATTTAGGAAAAAACCAAAATATAACAACAACCAAAAAACCCCATCACGTTGGCAGCATTCAGATCAACATATAGTTGCATGGGTTTCAGAGCATAATTAGGTTGCCAGACAAGTCTCAAAAGAAATCCAAACATTCTCTTAACACAATCCCACAAAAGCTAATTAATTCAACTGCTATATGGAAGACTGTGTGGCACTTAACTACGTGAAAACTATGATCATAATTTTCACCTTAAGCCCCATACATAGCAGTTTCACTGGGAACCACTAAATTTTAAAAATTATTTCCAGACAGCAGTGTAAAGAAGTATTTAAAAATATTAGCATTTGCTAGGCTGCTGGAAATTAAGACACCTCCAGAAAATGTTTTGTTTTTAAAAAAGTACATTTACAGCTACGACAGACTAATCTAAATCCCAATAAAATTTTCTATTTTTTTGTCATTTAAGTCATCTTTGTAATAATTTATGAGTTAGGATGATCTTTCAAACTTACCTAATGGCTTCTGAGTCAATATGTACAGGGGCAATTCTTTCCAAAAGAAATTTGACCATTTCCAGAAAAGGATTTGTTGGCTGCTTCGGATTTGCAAGCTTCCGGGCTATCTCTCTCTATAATAAGAATGTTAGGTACAAAAAAGAATTATACTAATTTTACTTACTTATTAAGCTTGTTGAGTAAGCTGAATACAGCCACTTATTTTAACTTTGCCTACAGGATCAGCGAAACATATTTTAAAGGGGGCTACTGCTATCTCCAAATCTTTATCACATTATATTTAAATCTTTAAACGTTGGATGCTGATGTCTAGTGAGTGTTCTTCAGAGTTTTTTTAAGGAATTGCAGGCCAGATCCGAAAGAGAATTATTTTGGGTCCACAAGGAAAAAAGTCTATGATTGTTGGCAAATCTCCTGTAAATCTCTGAAAAAGTCCAGTTTAATATAAGTAAGTGTATTTTCATCAAAGAAGTTAAACAGATGCGATAGCAAGGGACAGAAAGACTGATTTCAAAGTAACATTCTAGGAAGAAGAATAAATTCACACAATATGCAGATGACATATTTGGCTTGATGGTACTCAGAAGAAGTTTCATCAGTGTCAAATGACAGTCTAGGTATCTTACCATAAAAAGAGACACCTGAAAGAAAATACTTTAAAAAAATTAAAGCAAGCTTTCTGACATTATGCTTAATGGTTATGACCTCAGGAAGGAATAAAGCTAATGTTTTCTTAGGAAGCAAGATGATGATAAAAGACTATATTTTCCACAATCTCAACAGGTTAACCAAAAAGGTATTTAATGAAAATTGGAAATATATAAAAATCATGTTAAGGAACTAAAAGAGACCATTAACTCTGAATAATTGTTTTAAGCACAAATATTTAAGGTATAAAAGTTGTTTTTTGCATTTTCTTACCACACAGACATCTGCCTGTTTACAAGAACATGTAGGGCTAATTAACAGTTCAAGCTGGGACCGAAGTTTCTCATCATCACCCAGAACTTGATTGAATTTCTTCACAAAATCTTGTGCTTTGCCAGGATCTGGAAGGTTTTCTGTGTGATTTAACACAATTTATCATTAAATACATTTACCACTTTAGTATGCCAAGATTCAGAGAAATACAATTTCCAGGAATCCTGTACTAACAGTTTATAGAACTTATTAACACTTACTTGCTATGGTCATCAGCTTTCCAAACATGGCAGCACTGTTTGCTTCTGACTGAGGACAACAGCAAAAACAAACAAATCAGCGACACTTCCCATTCTAAAATATACCTTTAAGCTAATTTGTTAAGTCTTCTGCAACACTATATTCTACTCTGGAATCTTATGGTTTATGTCTTTCCTTTAAGAATAAACTCTAGGATAGTAGAGCAGTATGTTTAGCAGCTACTACACACTGAAAAATGGGAAAAATCTTCTTGCAATATCAAAGAACTGCAGAAATTCACTAACTGATATAACAGATTAAAATCAATTGTAGGAAAAAGATCCCAACCATATACCCCTAGCCCACCTCCACACCCAACCCCCAAAGCTATGCCCTTCTATTTCAAGTTTCTGCTAGTTTGAAGATATGCTTTTATATAAAATTCCAGTATGTTAAAACTTTTGTTTTCAAACAAATAATTGCTTTACATTACAACATATTCCGTTCTCAAAATGTGCTAATAAGGTCTGTCAAAAGCAAACAAAAAACTTGGAATTTTCTTTAAAACTTTTTCCAAAGTAATATAAACTAACGGTAAATATAAGGAGGCCATCTTTAAGCATTTATGAAAGCAAATTTACTTAAGAATGGAACATAATCTACATATGGAAATCAACAGAGTAATAAAGTCATACTGAACAAACAACACAGTATTAAAAAATTCCAGTAAATTAGCCTAACAGGTCGACTGGATAAAGTATTAATATTTTCAAAACCGTACAGTGGGCTGCTTATGCAAGTCTAGTAATTCTCGTACGTGACTCCTCAGCATGTTCTGGCACTTCCACATCTCATTCAGTGCTCTGCAAAAGTGAAAAACCAGAAAAGTTTACCAATTTGGTCATGACAAGAACATGCTGGATGTATTAGCAAACAAGACTGTTTCATTATTTATCTTACATGTGAAACATCTGCTGGATACAAACAAAACCTAAAAAGTACTAAAAAAACCATTCCAAACATGGTGGAACTGATTTTCTCCTTTTTCAGAACACCACCTCTCTTAATATTCTACTTTGAAAAATTTCACATATGTAGGACAGCCACAGTTTGTCCTACCCAAATTATCTTGAAAATAACATTTTCAACATAAAACACAGGCTACTATCAATCAGAATTCAGTTACAGATATCTTCATCACAAGCCTTAATATTCTAGAGTAAATCTAGAAGTTATTACTTGAGCATTTTTAACTCTGCAGTGTTGTTGTTGGATGAAAAAGTATAGATAAACCACTCTTCTCAAATATCAAGGTAACTTCTTGTCTAATGGGACATGTAGTTCATATATAAAAGCGAAATATTTTGAAATACTACTTGAAAGTAATGCTAACCATTGCTTGGTTATATTTTTATTTAAATCCTGATAATACAAAGATGATGATACAGATGTTGGAAAAGCCTGAAAAAGCGAGTATTTGCCGAATACAAACTATACTCACTTAACAGCATTTGGATCCAAGCTAGCATACAAATAGTACAAGCACTTCATTCGCTCTTCTGTTTCCAAATTGTGTGGAACAAGATACTGAGCAAAGATTTTCTCAACCAGTAACCTGCAGGAAAAGAACAGACAGAAACTGTATTACTAAGTGTTGATACTTTTCAGACAAGCTGAAAGAAATATAGAAAGTCATTGAAACTAGATTTCAATGGAGAAGAAAAAAGAGTGGGTCTTTTTCTCATCTGTAAACATCCCTTCCACTGTCCATAGAAAGAGCAGCAAGAACTGCAGCTTGAGAGCTTTTCCACAGTTCTGTCATTTTCAACTCTAAGAGGCAGAAATTGCTTTGTTTGTTGCCATCCAAATTGTAGTTTTTGTCTAGGCTCTGGGAATATCCCTTTGTTCACTCTCAACCATGAGAAAGGGATACAGACAATAAAAAAATTCAAATAAAGAGGAATACAGGAATATTACTCAAGGGAAAAGTAAAAATCGAAACCTCGAGAGAAAGGTTAAAATAAAACTGTACCATTTGAGAAAAGACAAAGGAATGCCACAATGCATACAACAAAAGGAGGAAAAAAAAACCCACAAAGTGAGACCAAACCTGCAAAAACATTTTCCAAGTATCTCTTTTCTAGAGAACAATAACCTGTATTTAAAGTTTTACATAAAAAACAAAACTTGAATTACAAAATACTACTGTACAGTTGATCTAATTACAGCCCACTCCCCCACCATGAAAGAACATTCAGACAATAATTTAACCATTAATTAATGGTACTTGTGCATAATGTTTAGCTGTAGAATTCGATATTTATGAACAAATGTTTTGTGTTTGAAATTACAAACTTTTTCACTATGATTACTAGTAAGTGATCTGGGAGTACCTTGTACAAAGATCACAGAAGGCAACGAAAGTCAAAAACACCTTATTTCTGGCTCAGAGAAAATTCCAAGAGACATACGGCAAGGCAGAGGAATAAAAGGATGACTGCAAATATAGATACAACTATCTCAAGGCATCCGGTTAGTATTAAAGAAAATTTGGCTTTCTTACATACATTGTACATTTTACTACTGATGAGTCCAAGAATTAAACTGCTTAGGGAACAGGATCTTCAGATCTCAGGGGACTCCATCTCTGTTTAATATACTAGGAGACTGGAGGCATCTGAGTTATTTTACTAATTTATGAACATTGCTCTAGCCCATGTCTCTACAGATACATGTTCTAGAAAAGCTGTCAGTACAAATGGTGAGACCATATCGTGCCTTTCCTGGTCCACATCAGTTAAAGATTTACAAATAAGGAATACCTCTGGGACACACTTTTCTCCTGTGAGGAAAGTCACTGGCTAGCATATCAAGAGTGTGTCACCAGGCAGTGTTTAAGAGATAGTTATTTTACTCCATTTGTTATGCATTTGTTGTGAAACAAAGCTCAAAGCACACAGGTGACAGTTCTTATGGCTAGAATGTCAGTTTTGAGTAGACATGCACATAAGTTAAAACTAAAGATTACAACATGACTGAGTTAAGGATGTGTGGAGAAAATTTGTTCTGTTTGACTTCATGCCTGAAAACTGTGCGATATTGCACTATTTTATCTTGAAAGAACTAGTGTTACTCCATGCATAAATAAGGCTCAGACAGATGTTCACTGTTATATTTTATTCTTCTTCCTTATTACGGAAGGAAAACAGGCAAGACAATTTTTACCTGTGCTCATGTGTTTAAAGGATTGGGTGGACTCCGTCTTAAAAGATCATAATGTTTCTACAGCTCTTCAGGTGCTAAAATCACTAACTTTCTGACAATAACATTGAAACACATTTATTCGTCCACTCTGAGATGGCAAAACTAACCCAATGGTGTGACTGATAAAGAACTTCACTGTCAGCAGAATTTGAATTAAAATTCAGGGTACCAAACTAAACTAGAGGAACACTGGAAAAACAATCCATCAGTCTTTCAGTGTAGATACCCAGAAAACAAACCACATACAATCCAACCCTATTCATGAAAAGACCAGTTTCAATGTCTTAATCAGATTTTCAGAAGAAAATATATCACAGAAACTGAGCTTTGATGACATAGTCTTTCCTTAAAATTTCTTGCCTCATTTCCCTGACAGTGTTCTGCATTTCCCATGTGCAGGAGTACTGAAAACATCTGCCCTATTCATCACTATGGAACTTTGATTCATTCTCCACTCACTAACAAACCTATGTACTTATAGCAAGACATGAATATGCTAGAAAAAAACCACAAACCTCCCAATACAAACCAAAATACATGTATTAAAGCATATTTTATGCCTATGCAGGATTAGTTATGTAAAAACTATGTGAAGATGTCATGATTTTTTACTATTAGATACTTCTATTTCAGCAGACTTTCAGTATAATCTCTGAGTATACAATCTCATAGCCATTTTTTTTCAGCTTTTTTTTAATAAGAAAAATAACAAAACAAAAACAACAAACAAAAAACAACCACCCACCCAAAAAGCAGCAACTAATCAAATATTTAACTCTGGCCCACTTACGATCAGCCAGATGAACAACATGAGAGCCTTCACCACTGCAGTGGTAAGAATTCATCATTAACTGGAAACTGAAAGAGGTTATTAGCCCTTTCAGACCAGTCACTAAAATCACAAACTGAGGCAGCAAACTGGTATCAGCAAGATTCTAAAAAAACACTACTAAAGAAAATTGCAAGTCTGGTGTAAAAAAAATCTAGGCTGAATTCCATCTTTGTGTGATCTCATAGTTTGGCTCTCCTTGTGAAAGACAAAGAATTAATAGTGAGACTTGAAAACTATCTTCTAAAACCTTGGCCAAAATAATTTTTCTCTAAGCCAAAATAGTGTTAAAAAAATTAAAGGCACTGAGTGACAAAGCAGGGCAGACTAGACAGCACTGAAAGCATTCCTACACTTCTATCTACATGGTCCTTTTCCACAAAATGTACCAAAAGGAGACATTTGTGCATGTACTGTGATGCTCACAAATAATGGATTTTAACATGCTGGCCTCTGGAAAGAGGTAAAGCAAACAAGAACTGGGTATAGCAAATGCAAAATTTGTCAATTGTTTTCTATGCAATTGCTAATTAATGACAACCTACTATAATCATAGATCTAGTTCCATTAGTAAATAGAATGAACATATGAACAGATAATGCAACCATCATTAATATCTTAGCATGTGTCAATTATTATTAAACGTACCATCTTTAAAACCACAAACACAGAACGTGCTAGAATAGTTTGTGCAGGGTAAGAATGTATTTTCAGAGTATCTCTTATCACTAGACAGTTAAAATTAGGAAGTCTTAGGTTGACTCACTTGTCATCAATGCTATTTTGATAATATATGTGCAAAAGTTTATCCTTTATCCAGCTCACTTTCTCTGCAGCATCTTTTCCAGCCTCGGCATGAAGACAGTATTTCTTGTAGAGCTGGGCAAGACCCATCATAGCTTCTTTTCTTACTCGCCACTTGAGAGGGAAGAAACAAATGGGTGGGAAACACTTTTGGTAAATAAATATCAAACACATAAAATACAGTAAAGATGTAGAGACATGGAAGACCAAGAAGCCACATTTTGACCTCTTATATTTAAACATGCCTAAAGGTGGAAAATGCTGTTTAAAGCCTCTAAATGAGGCCTGAAAAAGGGGTTTCTTTCTTCCCTGTACTATGCAGATTAAGTACGGTCTGTACAAAGGAGTCCAGTATTGTCCTGAGCCAAGAAAATCTGGAAGCTAGTCAATATAAAAAAATTTAGTGTAAGATTAACAGAACAGACTGATGATCAATTTAGAGAGAATAGTCTCTCCAACTGAATGATTTATACAGAAAGCCTCAGTACTTTCCCTCACCATTTAAAGGAAATGCATTAAATTCAAACTGAAAGAGAGGATTTCTTCCAGAACACACTAGATAGTTATTTTGGCCTTGAACTCCAAGGACTAACAATGCTCAAAATATTTCAGTCTATCAAGCATAAACATAAATACTATTACTGACATGTTCATACCTTCTTCAATTCTGTAAAACTGAGGGCTTATTTTAATAACACTGAGATAAAGCAGTTTTATTTCTTAACAGTTTTAATGAGTGTCTTCCTTTTATTAACGGGCAAAGAAAAATCTTCTAAATAATATGGCTGATGTCAGCACAGCAGCCTTAAACACCACTAGCTATTGGACTAAGTTATATCAAGATAAGATGGAAAAAATAAGAAAAAAGACTACTATATATTTCTTAAATATTAAAAACAGAACTAACAGACCAAGATAGAAATGACTTTCATAGTATACAGTATAATACTTTGTTTCATAAAAGAAAAAAAAAAATAGATATAACTAGACATTATTGTTTAACTTCTCTGCAGGAATTTGTTCACATCCACTGTGATATAAACCACGTTTTAAAGAAAATACAGGTCTGAAAAAGAATAATTTTCAGGTTCTTAAGGTTACCTTCAGTGTAAAGCTAAGCCATTTTCAGGATTTAAAAAAAAATATTTTTTTTTTAAAATATCTCCCAAAACAAATTATTCTGAAAAGTGAAGACATTGGAAAGACCTTAGAGACTAAATTCCAAAGGAAAACTCCTCACAACAATTTTTACCACTGACTGGATTCCAGTTTTTGGGAAGCATCTGTTCAGTTTTTCAACTGAACCAATAAAAATAGCTGTGAAAACTATATAGGTGGGAGTGGGGTTTGTTTGGGATTTTTTTTTTTGTAATTTCAAATAGCTGTAATCATTCTACAAATGAGTATACAGATCAAGTTACCAGAGGACTTTGTTTTTAAAAAAGTAGTCTTCTAGCCAAAAACCTTTACCCCTAAAAAGTCATAAGGCTATCTTGACTGATACTATGCCAATTAAAATATGGTAAGGAGAAAAAACAGTTCACATGAATGGCATAACAGTTGGCATTATTTAAATTTCAAGACTCCACACTGATTTATAAAGAGAAAAGGCAGAGTTGAAATGACAGATTAGTGTGTTTAAACAATTAGCATTTTACTTCAGCCTGCTGGAAAACTGTTCTTTTCATAGTAATATCTATATTCATTTGATGGATGGTGGCAGTTGTCAGAAGAATTAGATTAAGTCAAAGTGATAAATGATCACTTCAGAGTTTGTAGTAGATTTGTCTAACAAAAACCTGGCTGAAAAGGGTAAATACAGTCAACAGAACAGTTTTAAATTAAAACAGGTATAATGCACTATGTCTGAAAGTGAAAAAATCCTACACAGAAAACGTAATGACAGTTACATGGACATATCAATGCCCTCTCCCAAACTTGAGAAAAATTCTAAAAAGAATAAAAAAACCTCTGCAAGTTTACAGTCCTTAATATTAGCTTTATAAGACTAATTATATTTACAGAGACATGCTATTTGCTAAGGAATACTTGAAATGCGAAGTATTTGTTGTAGTCATTTCTAGTCAATCCTCAATTTTGATTTCTCCTCAGGATGTATTTTCATTAAAGCTCACTCCAGAGATTTTTATAAGAGAAGTTTCACGTAGAGGTGAAGTTATTTTTCACTGATGAGTGCCTGAAAAGGCACCTAAACCTTGAAATCTAATGTATCATCAAACCTCAGACTGGTGTGAAATCATAGAGTGAAGCACATTAGCATAAGTACCACCCTGGGTTTAAAGCTGCATGAACTGAAATTCCTGAGCTCCGCAGAAATGAGGATTACAGCTGTACAACTGGCTGAGCCTCTGCTGATCATGAGACACTAATGGAGAACAGAGACACTATGTAGAAGACCCAGTAACAATCAGCCCATTCTGACCAGTCCCAGTGAGAAGCAGTGGTTACACTAGAAGTTTTTAGATATCATAAATTACTTTTGGGACATGTTTACTTAGTGGCTGGAAAAAGAAGGAAAGTGGTCTTAATCATTCCTGAAAAATATGCAGAATCAAGCTGCAGGTACAACTAATTGAACAGCTGCTTTAAAATGCTCAACATACTCAAAATCAGTCTCATTGTGCAAAGACAACATCCTTTTTCTCAAAATCTACTGCAGCAATATTCTCATTGAAAAAGGCAAATAAACCCTAACAAAAAGGAATAACAATAACAAAAAAATAATAAAATCCATCATCCTCCACAGAGCATAGAGGCACATCTGAGAGAGTATAAAAGCTCTCGCAAGTTGAAGGTAAATCCTTAATGAAACATGACAAAAGTTTCAGAACTAAATTATTAAAAGTATACTTATTAAACATATTCACAAAAGCCTACAGAAGCAGGAAGCCTTTCAGACCCTTCTGTAGGGCTGAAAGACAAACAAGACTTATTCCAGGAAAGAGGTCTGAAGAGGTTTCTTAAAGTGTCATTAGAAAACATTTTAAAGCAAATTAATAAAATGAGAAGCCACAAAATCATTACGACCAATCATTAAATCCATGAGTTCCACCAGAATTCAGAAATGTTACACCAAACACTTAACTATTCTGTTACTGCAACCTGTTCATTGAACAGATTGAACTCAGCAAATGTGAAAGAAAACAAAGGGTCCCAAAAGGAACAGAGGGCCACTCACCAGAAATCTGATTTTGAATGGGCAAATAGGTTGAAACAAAACAGTAACAATAAAGAGCAGACACTGCTGAAAAATGAAGTTACGGGAATGAGTCATTACACGTAATATACTGGGAAGTTTTATCTAAGAAAAAAGTTAGCAGACCCACAAGTATATCAGTAAAATTCATTAGAATCTCCAGTCTTTCAACAAAGTCTCACACCAGAGGACCTCAAAATAAAAAGCCTGCTTTGAATTAATTATTAACTAAAGCATAAGAGACAATAGGTAGAAAAAATCCACTGGTTTTCATGATGAAGGGAACAAATGGTACCTATTGATGGAGTTAGAAAGGAATCTGTGACACTTAACACACGAAAAATTACTAGAGAATTAACTGAACAGTGTGTATCAACTGTACTGAGGTAGCAGATCTAACATTATAATAGAAGAACTTAAGAAAAACATCATGCTACTGAATTGTTACAATATGAAACTGAAGAAATTCCGATTAAGGCCAGGTTTTCCCAACTGCATTCATTCTGTATGTATAGTATTAGGCAATGTATAATCTGAAATTATTCACAAAACATACTGAAGTCAACATGGATGTTTTCCAAAATTGTCAGTTCAGTGCTCAGAAAGAGAATAAGAAACAAAGAAAATGTTAAAAGAATTTAAAAAAAACCACCAAAAAACCAAAAAACCATTATCATAAATCATGTAAACACCACGGTGCACTCCTTGAATGCTGTGACTGAGTCTGGACACCTTGCTTCCAAGAGGATATAGAACCACCAGATAAGAATTATCAGAAATGTGCAATAATCAATTTGCGTGGTAGTTAATCAGGTGATTATTTAGCTTGGAAAGCAATGGAGTAGAGAAGATAAGGTGTACATATTTATTAATCGTAAGTGGGTTAAAGAATATTTATTATTTTACATTGTGCAAGAACTACAACACACACTGAAACTATCAGACAAGTTTAAAACAAACAAGATCAATTACTTTTTCCACACATGCACTGAACTTTTAATTTACTGATGCAAATGCCATGGACACTTATAAAGTACAAATAAGTTCCAGAAATAATTTTATAAATTCATGGAACAGAGTTCCATTGAAAGCTACAATGAGCGTGATCAAGCAGATTTAAGAAATCCTTAAATCACAAATTGCTGGAAACCAAAACTCACCACAACGGGAATTTTACTGGGCTATAGGGACCCATGGCCTAAACATATGTGGCATTTCTTATGTTCTTACACTGAGATTGTGTTCCTCATAAGTTAATGATCTAATCTGCTTGACAACACGATTGGTGCCTCCATAATATGGAATCTACATTAAGATGTTCTGGTAAAAAAATATTTTTTTCCCCACAGCATTCTAGTTAATAGTCAAGTCTAAGATTCTCTATTTCTGTGGCTTTGTTGTTGTTTTAACAAATTATATTAGAAGCAGATATTAGTAAAAATAAAACAGGAACACTTACCCGTTTGTCTAGCGTCCTTTCCCTTACAAAGCCAAGCAGCTGGTCATTGACTAAGGAGAGATCTCTCTTGCCCGCAGTGATAATCGTAACAATAACATCATGTCGAATGGCTTCTTCTGGGTCGTGTGATCTAACCTTCAAATATTCTGTTATGATCAGAAACAACGAAAAGCTTGTCTTTTAAATGTAGATATGACGTATTCCATTAATAATGTTGAAACAATTAAATGGCAGTCACATATCAGAACCATATAAACTATTAAACATGGAATTGTCTACAGGAAACATCTGTTTCAGCATTTTCTGTGTTAAATATAAACCAATTACGTAACAGTAAAAATCAGATTAATATACAAGTAAATAGCTTGTACAATAGTCTCATCCGCAACAAGCAATGAAGTCAAATAAAGTTGATTAGAATATACTGAAAATAAAGAGGGGTGTGGGAATGAGAAGAAAGAACAGCAGACTCATTTCCAAAGAGCTAAGAAAGTAAACAATAAATGAAAATACTGACAATTGCTTTAAGTTAGCATGTATCAAAAAAGAACAGTATTTTCAGTTAAGTCTGAAATTCTGCTCATAATTAAAATTATGCTGAAGTGAAAGAATAAACTTCATACTTTAATTAGCATAATGGCATTTTCTAAACTCAGTGGAAGAAAGTAGAGTAACACACTGTAAGGAAAATAAATCAAGGTGTTACATCGACATTTGCTTTGACTTGCCAGAAGTTTCATTAGAATCTGAAATCACTTTAAAACTTTCTGCAATGGGTAGCTTCTTAAAAACTCAGCCCAACAAAGACACATTCCACACAATGTCATACATTCCTCTCTTTCTAATAACTAGCATTTGTTTTCAGCAGAAAGCAGTTACTCAGTAGTTAGCTCTTTCATGCAGTATGAAGCATTAGACTTGACACGTTTTACAGCTATGCTGCTGTGTACAGAAATAATAGCATTCTTCCTTGCTCTTTTCTTATATTATTCTAACCCCTTGTATAAGAATCTCACCAGTGAGGTCTTTTGCTAGGTCTGGATGGTTCATTAAACAATGACTGGCGAATTTCACACTCTCTAATCTCACAGGGACATGGATATCATTGAACCTAGAGGGACAGAAGATGATGAATGTTAATTTTTAATTAGCCTTGCAAAACAAGACTATTCTCTATAGTAGTAACTAGTAGTAACTAGTAACACGTGTTGCTAGCATGTTCCATAGCACAACAGGAATGTTTTTAATTTATCTCCATAATGTACACCTCATACAAATGTTTATGTTGTTTGTTGTGAAATTAAGTCAGGACTATAAAGGATTAATATATTGTAAGCAGATGAAATGGTGACCCAATGGGTTTTGTCCCTTGACTTTTGAATGTAATTCTCTGTCAATAGTGTGAGTGCATGTCTGTATACACACATGTGGAATTATAAAAATACAAACTGCTGTGTAACACATATAATTTGAGAACATACATTATTTAAAACCTGACAAATATCTGTACTTACTTAAAAAGAAAGAGGTCTTCACTCAAAAAGGTAAATGCAAACTAAAACAGATGTAGTTGCAGATCTAATTTAACAGCATGAAATTTCAGACAATGCTCGCATACTTATTGTGTAATTTCTGCTATGTATGTAATGTGCTATCTAACCTATATTCCCATAGCTGACAGCAGTCCTTCAGGCTTCCGCATTCTAAGATGTCACTATATACATTCCCTGCTTTGAAGGTTTAAAAAAAAAACACTTGTTCAAATACAGTTACACCCTCTAAAAACACAATGAAAAATGCAATACTATCAGAAAATGGAAAACAAAAGGAAAAGAAATTCAGAATCCCCATGTCTCTCACCGCCCAAGAAAACACTGCCAAAGAGGACGATTTTGTGTGGCCAGATCAGAATCTTTGGAGCCAAAGAGTTTAGCCAGAAGTCGAACAACAGCCAAACGTTCTTCTCCATCATTGCTCTAAAAATCAAAACACAAAAAAAGAACTGTAAATCAAATAATTACCTCAGCAATATCTTCATAATAATTTCTGGCTTCCTTTTCCTTCTGCTACTATAAGTTCGATTATGAAATGAGTTTGAAACAATTTCTGATAATCCTCAGTCTCCCTAATTAGATTATTGGTTGTATAAAAGTAAAAAAAAAATACAAATACCTATTAAGTTAACATATTACAGCCACTGAATAGATGTCTGTGCTTTGAAAACTTCTCTTTCAGGAATAAAAACCTACACAGTAGTTTGAATAACAAGAAAGAATGATCTTGTTTCTCTTTTAAAACATACCTTAAGACTATTTTGTGTGTGTGTGGAAAAGACACCAATTAAGATGATACAGTGCACTGATAAAAGATAAGTATTTTCACCAAACACCTATTTCTTTGTTATTTTTGTTTGTCGCTACCATATCCTTTATGTACATGCACACATATAAAATTATTTCTCTTGCCATTTACAGTCATATGAAAGACAGATAGCTTTTTAATTAAAAAACCCAACCCCCCCCCAGCCAGGATAAATTGTCTAGTTATTTCCAAGAAATCAAAATATGTCAGCTGACTTATTAGCTGATTATGACAAATTTGAGAAAATATTTGCAAACACTTTGTCTATTATTAAAACATGATTTCACAAAAGAAAATTCCACAAATCAATATCGAAGCTGACACACTTGCACTTCATGAGATAAGCCAATCACAGCCCAATTACTTCATAAATTTCAAATGAGACACAAATATTAGGTCATATGAATTTATCATTATAATGAATATATATTGTGTGCATAAAACATCTGCAAAAAGAGAAAGTACATAATCGTATACAACTTTCCAGTGTCCTTCAGTATTACAGTAATCTTTAAAATTGATAAATATAACTATCTTGAAAGAGATAAATATAAATCCTTTATCCCTCCATTAGAACACTTATTAAATCAACAGCTCTGCGCTCTTAATATTCACACAAAGTTTTTTACTTGTCTAAAGCTACATGGTAACCTACCTTCAGCTTGAATTCAAGCTGTGGCATGACAGACAGCAGTAAGTGAGGATCTATTGCAAAAAGCTCTTGTATCAAGTCAAACACATGTTCTGATAAGTCACTTACTGAAGATTTTCCCAGTACCAGAACCTGGTTAAAAAACTAGAATACAAACAATACTATTTAGCACATTTTCCTTCATTCATGCAAATACTATTTTAAAAATTGATGTTAATATAGTATCATTCATACTTCAATTCCAATGGAAGGTACTCAATGCACATTTTTCTACTACATCAAAGAATGTCACCCTTACAGTTTTAGCTCAAGCAAATCATAAAGAAATATCCTTCACAGTTCAGTTCCATTAATCCCATCAGCATCAATTAATTTATGCCAATTTGATAACTTAAAATATCCATAACCATCTCCACAGCAATAGTAACATGTAATAAAAGAACTGGTAATTTAAGATGCTTAATCATCCAGTGGAAGTTGAGAAAAAAATAGTTATCTTATATTTGTTTTATATTTTAAAACCAATTCAAATTGAAGATCATAAAATGTTGAAAAAGAAGCTTCTCTGCTTTTAATGCATTTGAAAGATTGTCAGATTACTTTATGATATGTCTTGTGGTATTTGACAGTAATATATGATGGTTGCTAGCTACCTTAACAGAAACAAAATAGGTTAAAATTTGAATAATTATTTATTTATTACATTTTTATATGCTTGATATAGTTCCTATTAGATACTGTGGGTTAATATTAGTATTATTTAAGCACTGCAAATGCTACCAAGCTATTACACACTTGAATAAGAAAGTAAGGAGAATAATATTAAATCAACTCAGAGGACCATCTCTGCACTACCCTGTATACAGAGCCAGCTATTATATATTATATTTTTTGTATATAATTTGTAACTAGTCAAATGCTGTATGAAGTAGTAACAATTCTTTATGTTGCAGCAGGATTTTTTTGTTGCCACCTACTTTCACAGCCTAGATTTAGGCTTAACTTTACACTAAGATGGGGAAACATGAATTTCCTCTTCACTTACTTGAATCCTCACATACTTCTTTAGTAACCAAGCTAATAATATCCTATTTGGGAAATGACATTCTTGTAGCGTATTACAAAATGTTACATCATAAACAGTATTTTAAAACAAACAAATCTCCAATAAATCAAGGCAGTAACAAGAACAGTTATTACTTGTGGAAAACACAGATTAATTAATTCACATACATTGGCAATACATGGTTCAATGGTCTGGACGGTCCTTTTCAACAGGACTTTTGCAAGATCAAATGCTTGTTTATTAAGGTTCTGAAATAAAGAAAAATACAGTAAAATTTTAAAGACACAAAGGATTTTAGATTACTTTACTTTCCTCTTCCAGCCTTAAAAGACCATGACTTTAGAAAGGTATGTTTCACCACAATCTATTTGTTTTCAAAGCTCTGTACCTTCAGTTATGTCAATTTCACAACTACAGACTTAGTAAAAATCTTACAACTAGTTTTTCACACACTTAAAAAGAAATCTAACCCAGAACCATCACTTCCTCCATGTTCTTCCAAGACTTCATCACTCCACCTGTTACCTTTAGCATTGTACTCTTATCTACAAGAAATTTTCATATGCAATCATGTACAACACTGTGAAGAAACACTCCCACACCTCCATACTTTGACAGCTAACATACACCAAATTTTGCCATTTAAAAAGGAACTTAGTATTTAAAGGTGCTTTTTTTTCTTCCCCCTCACATACTCATTAAAGGTACACCCTGTAGCACAAGTTTAGCCTTGTCTAGAGGGCAAAACTGCACACTGATGTTTGCACGGACTGCACTGTAAGCCCTGCGATAGCCCACAGAAAGCACCTACGCTTGGGCAGAGTTAGCTGCAACCTTCCAAATAAATATTTGATTGCAACATAAAAAATCCAAACATTGTTTTTATTACTCTTGAGCAAGATAAGGAATGTAACTGCAATTCTGAAAAATGTGACTGTCCAAATCTGCACAAAACCCAATACGCAGTATCTCATCTCATCTAGGGATTAATGCAGTTTGGAGAGGGAGGGGATGGGAGGAAAGAAAGAAAAAAAAAAAAACACCAAAACAGAAGGTGGATTAGCTGATTGCCCTGAAAAGTACAAATGACTGCAGACAAAATCCATGTAAAGCTGAAAGATTCTTGTACAGACAGTATTTGGGAAGTCTACATTGATAATTACTCCCTCATGTTCTGTTAGCTGATGAGATGACAAACTGAAAGACAGTTAATCAACTGATATTAAAGAGAAACAAATAGCCAAAGGCTCAAACAAATACCTCCTCAGTCACCATGGCACTAAACTGATGTCTCATTATAGAAGACAGACAGATATGTAAAACTCTTCTCAAATTGAAAACAAAACAGTTTCTCTCCAAACCAGACTGTGATTAAAATCTCATTGGCAGGTATGTCTGTATTAAACCCAAGGACTGCCAACCTAAAACAAAAAAATTTTTTTTTTTTATCTTCAATACAGCTTCAAAGATTTATTGTAATGAAGTTGCATTGGTTTTTTTTCCCCTAGACAGCTTCACCAGAGCTATATGAAAAAAGCCCCAAACCTCCACAACACCCCACATAACAAACAAAACCCAAATCAACAACTATCCAAACCCTGAAAAACCTTACAAAGAACAAAACATCGAAACAGTCTAGAAAAGACATAAAAACAACTAAAACAACAACTATAATAAAACAACTATTAATACATTTTTTTAAAAAAATTGACTGTTTGGATGCCCCATGCTGCAGAGGACGCAGAAGAAAAACATATGGGTTTTAAACACATTAAATATATTTTTCTAAGGAATAACCTTGATCATAAGAGTGTGAAGAGAAATATCCACAAAATAGCTTTCCCTTAGTTTTGAAGTTAATAAAAAGAACTATAGTTTGATGCCACAGGTGGTTGAAGCAAAATATGATATAACATACTGCTATTGGAAAGCCGGATTTCCTTGAGAAGAGCCATATTATCACAGAGAGAACAATGTATAGGTAAGGCCACTGTACTACTGATAATGAATCAACAAATTAATATAATTTAAATGCTGAAGTAGCCTCTACTTCATGTCTAGGTACTGATGTATTTCTCTTTTTTACTGCAGTACTGTCTTACACAATGGAAGATAACTTATTTTTCTTTTTTAAAAAAAGCAAAACCTCAAACCCAGGAAGAAATAGAATACTTTATCCAAACCACACATTTCAGCTCCTTTACAAAGACAACCTTCCATTACACTGAACAGTCTAGTCATACTGATACTTTTATTATGTCATAGCAGAGAATGACTAGCATTCAATTGCTTTGTATGGACATAAAAATATTGTTATTATATGTTCTCTACATGAAAATAAATTGTGCTTTTCAAGTGAGAAACCTAAGAACAAAAAATTAATATAATCACAGAATTTCACAGGAGCTTTGTTCATAAAAGGAGAACATAATTACCACAGTCAAATTCTACTAGGCAGAATAGACAAAAGAAACTTTCTGAATTATATTTTTAAAGACCATGGAAAAGATTAATTTTATTTCTGTTGTTAAAGGAAACTAACTAGTTAAAAGAGACCAAAACACTAACCCAAGTACGATACTAAGCACTGACTATAGTGTATTATTTGCTCAGTCATGATAGCCAAGAATATGGACTGGCCCAGAGTCCCATAGGAGATGCCAAATACGGAGTACAACCCAGTACAGCCCAGTATCTACATCAAGTTTACTTCCCTCTTTATCAAGGCCTTGCTTAAAAATTCCCTTAATTGGGCAAAATTGTATGATTAATCTAACAATGTTAATGCTAAAGGGTCATATTCACTTTGTCACAACACTCTGTTCAGTTGTACAAGGTTTACTGCATCTTTGCACCCTCAGAGTAATGCCCACCATTGTTAATAGCACCATCGAACACCTGACACAAATCTCCACTGTTTACACTCTCCATCTCTACTGCCTGTAATATATTAGAAACAACTTACAAAGAACAGCTTATTTTCAAAACTTTTTTTTTTTTTTTTTAAATTGTTATGAATGAGAGACCTCCCTTCCTGTTAACAGTTTTAGTAAGACGGTAAAAATGAGTTGAGAGTATTTCCATCTCATGGTCAGGACAGAAGGAATGCAAACTGACCTACATATATTTACACACTCATTGCTGAGATTTCACAGGTAAATGGCTTAAGCACTCCTGTGCCATACACTTCCACGAATTCTCCCTCTTTAGGTAAAGGAGTAAGGAATAATCCTTAAGGAGTAAGGAATAAAGTAAGGAATAATCCTTACTTTTATGTGCTAATTTAGCTATGTAGTCATGTAGCTGCCTTAATTTTGTCATTATTTTAAAATAATAAAAGAACAAACAGAAATATATACCTGGTAATCAGAGCACAGTTAATTTACTGTAGTTCATAATTGAAACTTACTGTTCTCCATACAATTTTCAATAAGAAGCACAAGCATTTTAGCAAGGGAATTTTCTTGGTCAATGCAAGGTAATGCTAGTCTGCATCTCAGTTCCCTGATTTCACATCTCCTTACAGTAAAGGCACCATAAAAGCTCAGCTGCAGACCCAGTGACCAGCATGTAAGTCACACCATGAATCCAGGACAGCATCAGTGACAGTTCGCGAAGCTCACTGTAAATGGGCTAAGACAACAGCTGCATGACAGCAGCAATGTGGTAGGAGGGGCTCATATAGGACTCTTCTAGGAAGAGGAGCAGAGGGATAAAAGGTGTGAGTGTTGGGGGAAGTGCACCAAAAGCAACCAGCTAAATAAAAACATAAAAATACTACACTACAGGTAATAATTAGGAGGGGAGTCTGACTTGCAAGCTGAGGCAAGCACCAAGTCACCACAAAAGTCTCATGGAAGTAATGTTTTTTCCTCTTCTCTTACTTTTTAAACTACAAACACACAAAACACCTTCACATCTTTTCAATCAAAAAACAAAACAAAAAGCCCCAAACAAACAAAAAAGCCCCCACAAAACCCAAAACAAGCAACAACCCACAACCCTCAAGATGTAATGTTTTCCTATTAAATTTGCTCCAAGATACTTTATTTCTGTTTCAGTACAGAGTTCCTGAGAGAGCAAGTAGGCAGAATCTCTTGCTAATAAATAATCTAGACACAGCTAATGAATAGTTCCAAATAATTCCCAAAGGAAATTTTCAATCCACTGTTATGAGGCTGGGAAGAAAAAAAAGCCATCATGATGGCTTAGGTGTGTGTGGAGAGATACAATAAGCATAAGGCAATAAAAATTGTTACAATGGTATACACTACTATAATATTTTACTTGCAGACCTTGTGTGCAGGAATGAGGTTAATCAAAATGGAGTCCAGCAGCTCCTGAGTTACTCCATCGCCTTCCATGATGATAGAACTCATCAAATCCAGCATATGCATTTGTACCTTCTGGTTGTGGCTATTACTAAGATGACAAAGCATATTAAAAATATTGAATTTTCAGACCCTGACAAACATTAACAGTACCATTAAGAAACATTTAATGCTTCCCAGCTTCCCCTCCCTTGCACTCTTCACATCTTAAAAGTACTTCACATGCCTTTCCTCTCTTATAGAAAGCTTTAAAAATTTCTAACACCCCAGCTTTGCTTTAGGAAGCAAAACAAAACAAAAAAAGAAGGAAACAACAATCCTGGAAATACAAATGTAAATAAATGAGAATGGACGTGTTTAAAACACGTCTACTTTTAGACACATGCCCCTTCATATTGTCAGTAATGCGCTCTCATTTGCTTTCCCTCTATTTCCTCATTTGAAGGAACAGACTTGTTCTTTGCAGACATACGTATTTGTAGACTATGCAAGGATTCAGTCTACTCCTAAAACTGATAATATTTTAACAGTTCAATATAATTGAAGTAATTTGACTTACTTGATAACTGAAAAAAGAGTCCTAAAAAGCTGAATAAAAATTTCATTGCAATCTTCCAACTCAAAGCAGATGTTGTAAGATTTAACCCAAGCTAAATTCTAAAACAAAAACAGGATATACAGAATATTACAACTTGACAGTAAGTCACATAAACATAATCATGTTAACTCATTTTTTTCCATTTAAGGAAAAAGATTATACAATAGATTGTAAACCCTTTGGGGAAAGGCTGGATATCTGCTTTGCATATAAAGAGCCCTTAACATAAAAGGGCTTTGCAAGATACATTCAGAGAAAAAATAAATACAGAATAATCTGATTTTGTACAAATAAAAGCAGATTGACAGAAATGGTTAATATATTAAAGTCCCTGTTTCTAGACTTTTATCTTCATGCTATGAAACAAGTTTTAAACATCAATAAAAGGTTTACAAACAAGATACTGTTTCTAAATGCACACTTCTTGTCAAGAGTAGGTTTTTCTGATGTTTTTAAACCAAAATCTTATATACCTTCTCCCACATAAATATAAGCAGCTTTGCATTTTAATGCAAATGCATTTCAGCATTTGAAATTCTCTCTTGATGAGACAGTGTAACTGTAAGGGTGTGAGATACAAAAAACCAGTGTATACAATTATAAGACAAAGGCTAGATGTTGATAAATACCAATACTTTTAACACGTTCTCAACTATAGGCTGCATAAACTTATTAAATGCAAACAGAATTCTAACTGCTAAAAGAAGCAATTCATTAAAATGTAATGAGTCTTGTGTGATTTACAGAATAAAAGACATTTCCAAGGCATACTGGCACATCTGGAGAAAGATTGCATTTTTTTACTTATAGAGCAAATACCATCTACTTAGTTACAATTAATATGTTACCTCTAACAAGTAAAAGTATCTGTTAAATTGAGGGCTCTTCGTGTCCTCCAAGCCTTTTAATTGTCTTGTAATAAACAAGAATATGTCCTGTCAAAAAATGATAAAGTGTTTATAAGCTTGATCCAGCAGAAAGTGAATACAACCTTTCATTCAGCAGTGACAACTACTCACATGTACCAACTTATGATGTAAGAACATCAAATGAGCCTTTTTAGGCAGTGACAGAAAGCTATCACCAATACAGACACTGGTTATCTAGTCCTCCTTTACACATCTCTGGCCCTTAAAGTATTACACAGGATTAAAGCAACATCTCTTTAATAAAACTGAACATCAATATAAATGAGTAAAAAAAACAAAACCAAAAACAAAACACAAACATTTTTGGTTGGTTGGGGGTTTTTTGGGGGGGGAGCAGTGATGGGTATTTTTTCCTCAGTAAGCAAATGAGGTAGGAAGAAAGCCTTTATTTTAGAAAGAATTTTTACCTTAAGTTTGTCATGGGAAGTATATGGAGCTTCAGGAGCATAGATACGAAAGATATCAGCCAAGCAACATGCTACAAGGAGGCGCACATCTTTATTAGGATTCCTGAGGAAGAATTCAGATGCAAGGTGCAAGGCTAATGGGAGATACTGCTGCTTCTCATCCTCCGAGTCCTGGTCCATATCCATGAAAGTTTTTACGACCATCTGAAAAACACAGGAAAAAATCCCACATTTTAATGCCTTCTGCTTTTATTCCTAATTACTAAACAATACTTTCTAAAAGAATGCAAAGCTATCAATACATGTTCCACTACATGATCACAACTCTACAATATTGTTTCTGTTAGGACAAACCTCAGAAAAAGAGAAGCCCTAATCTGATGCTTTAAGTCCTATTTGACATGGTATTTTAAATTAAGACACCGAAAAATGCTTTGCAGCTCTGCTTATTTTCCCAGCTCTACTTATTTTTAACCTGAGGGACAGCACAGAAACTGCTGCACACTGATGAGGTTGGAGATGGCAGCACTTCTTCACCGAAGTAATGCAAGAGCACCTCAAATGGAGGACTTGTATGAGCATGGACAGTATGACGGGCTGCAAGCAGTATGGCCTAACATACACTACAGAATGATGCAGCTGCTTCAAGAGCTATACCAACACTTGAGAGGACCCTAAGAGGCCAGTCTTAAGCTCTGCATGTATCCAGGCACAGAGCATAAGAACTACTAGATACCAGATATCAGGGAAGAATCTAATTTCTCATGTAAAGTATGTCTAATGCTGCAGATCTATTCTGCTGCATACTCAAAACTGCATGTATAGCCTTATCTATGTAATGAAAAAAATAAAATATATGGTTTCCTTGCTTCTTCTAGTACAGTTAAGAACTACTGTTCCTAGGAAATGCCACAAAAATGATTTCGTTTTAAGTATTAAACAAGCCCTGCTAATTGAAACATCTCAACATTATCATTTGGCAAAACTGGAAGTGAGAATCTGAAGAAATAAAAACTTGCAAGTTTAACTTTCGCAATGGGGTTTGTTAAAGGATGAAGGCAGGACATCAGCACAAAACTAGGAGACATGTCACAGATTCTTAATATGACCTTAGTCAAATCGATCCTTGCATACATTCCTCCATGTCACTTGAGCATCCTTAAGAGTTAAAATCGTGAAGGACAGCCATACTGCATACCCAGCGTATTTAGTACACCCATGAAACACACACAGTATGCACAGTGCATACATTAAAGAGATGTAAGGGAAAACACAGAATGATATATCAAATTTTCCCCAAGGATATTAACAGTAAAACACAAGAGGAGATTGAGCTCACACAGCTAATAAACAAACCTCTTACCACAGTTCTTCTTTTATTGTGTCATTCTAATGATACTAAGGCTGTTCCCTGTTAATAAGCATGCCCCTGCTTCCAACACAAAAACACTCGTTCAGCTTTACCTCCTCCCTCAAGTTTTGGAACCCAGTAGATCTTATAAATTAAAATAAATGTTTGACAGCAACCTTTCCAGCAGTACATTACTTAAAATTCTTCTTAAGTTTCTGTAAATGTACAAGTACATTCCTTCAGGAAGAAACTTGTAGCAAAACCAAAAATCAAGAAGCGGGGAGGGTGGGGAAAAGAAGCAATCCTCAACCCAGAATAAAAGATAACTTTACAGACACAGACCATACAAATCCAAATTCTACCTGTATTATTAGTCTATTTCCCTAAAACTATTACTGAGTTATATTTTAAAGCCTTAGCTGACAGGACAAAATATGGTTCTATTGGCAGCACATCTGTTACAGTGTTACACATCATCTGTCCTTCCTAGAACACAGAATTAAAAAAAAGCAAACACACCACCAACATGGTCTTCAAAAGCTTCCAGATTCTTTCCATAAGAGAAGGCTTAAACAAAACAACAAAACCATCATCACAGCAAAAACCAACATGATGCAAACCAAAAAGCCACCACACTCTCTGCTGGTGGCAGGACAAGGAACAGCCATGACCTGCAGCACAGAATTCAGGTAACTATTACTGAAAGCTTTAAAAACAGAGGAGAAAGAACTAAAAGATACGTGAAACCTACCCTGGAGATTGATTACAAACTGCATCTGTACCATATAAACTTGTCCCACTGAAGTTCCTTCCAGTCTTTTCACTAATTTTATTAATAAAATATATAAATGACCTTCTGCTCCTTCCCATAAGCCTGACTTCCTTTCTTCTTACATGTTTCATAAACTTCATAACCAGAATACTCTCCTAGATTCAGATGTCTCTTTGGGTTCTCATATTCAAATGACAGTATGCATAAATCTTGCAGATATCACTTCTCTGATACGTCAAAAACAGACATGGCAGGGCAGCACTTTGCTGTGAAAACTCACACAACTTTCCCATTTGGTAACAGAATGTTTGGATATTCTGGAATTAAAGTAATGAAACTAAGTATTTTCCTATCTTGCCTATTTAAAAACACTGCAGCCTTACAGATTTTCTCTGTGCTGCTCTTAAATTCAAAAGTGCCAGCAAATATCCACAAAACCTCACTCTTTTTCCCTGCAAAGCACTCCTTGCTATTTCTTTTCTATTACAAAACAAAACCTGAGCAGTAACTGGATCTCTGGCAAGCTGCAACTGCTGTTTAACATACTGATATACATTACCTCCGTTGTTTCTTTACAGGACTGTATCTCCTTGTATTTGTGTGTTGTCTTTTTTTTTTCATAATAGTCTTTGGTGCATGACATTCTGTTTATGGCACACGCCGAAAAATGAACAGAATACTATATTGGTTTTTATATAGGATCCCAGATACCAAAGGAATACAAATAGTTAATCATATGTATGTGGTACACAAAATATATATTATATATGATATAATGCAAATGATGAAAGTAATAGATAAAGATATTACAGAGGGTAGTAGTCATAGTTCCCACTTATTCTATATTTTTTTATGACTCTGTTCATGTCCTGTTATAAATTATGTGCTTTCTCAGAGGAATTAAAAAGACCAATGCAGCAGTTGCATGATTTCTAATAAATATCACCAAGTTCTTATGAAGGAGTTTTTAATTATTTTTAAACCCAAACTGGAAACCACTTTTGTAACATAAATGTAACAAGGGAATTTGACATAGCAAATAAGCCCTCAAAAATTCAAGGCTGTGGTTACTACTTTGTTACAACAGAGGGATGACATGAGTTCCTACTGACAGATAGATTATAGTACAATTATTTTATCTCAAAATCTGCATGTTAAGGAAATCATCTTTACTAATGTTACTCATATTATATGTACTTTATTAAAGCAAATTACATTCAAGATGTCCATCTTAACTATCCTTGTTCTACTTGAAAAAAAAGGCTAAGAAAACAAGACCTCGCTTCAGTTCCGCTTTGCATTCAGGTTTCCACTTTAGGTTTAAAATAAGTCTTAACTTCCCAAAGTTTTGACTCAATCACTATTTCAGAGTTGGTTATTAATTATCATGCTAAGAAAGTTTTTATTCCAGGAAAAAGTGATTCAACTGTAACATGAATTCACTACTTTTTCAAATTACAGTACTATTGTCTAACTGAAGTGTTGCTGTGCAGTCGAAACAACTCTAGCTAGAGCACTAATATTAATTTATATGAAAACCCGCAGACTTACTAGCTTGCATTGCAGAAAATTGTTGCTCCTATGCAAAAAGGAGACAGAACAGTATTATTTAAAAATATTATATAAAATAATCCATTCTTTTCCAAACAATTAAGTACTTGTTTTAAATACTAATTACTAGCAAATGTAAAAAAAAATAGTTATTCACAGTTACAATCAAATTCATTCTGCATTCCTTTTGATTTAATGCATCTCCATTAAGTTATTACATATTGGTACTTTAGCTACCTTGCAAAAATGTGTTAAAACTAATCTAGAAATTTTCATTAGTGCAATTTTTACCACAGCACCTTGAAATTCTCATTACTAGTCCAAGATTTTTCTCTCCTAGGCTCTGCAGACGTATAAATGGAATCCTCTGATTCTAACACTGGAGATGGCACAGAACCACAAGTGTCTTCAAACTAGTGAGAACAATAGTTAAAGTAAAATCACTCTTAGCACATTATGAACATACTGAAAATTGAAGAATTTAAAGCTTTTGCGGAGGCATCTATCTGATTGCATATAATCATGCAACGTGCAAGCCAGTCACTCTGGGCTTACCTTCTTACACACTGGAGAGAAATGCAGAGACCACCTCTGAATTCAAGCACAGATATCTATGATGACATCAATGTAAGTCAGGACAGTTTTGCTCTGGATTTCTCTACACTGACCATGAAAGCAGCTCAGTGTGACTGAAATGAGGTGAGATGCAGCCTCTGCCTGCAGCTTCTTCTCAAACTGTCAGCCTTTAAATTGCATTGAAACACACACCAGATGTTGCCAAAGTGGTGTTCACAGTCTGTCCACACCTCAGATGCAGCTTACCTGTGGTCTGTTTTCAAAGACAGTAAATAAGCATGGTAGCTTGGCCTTATGTCACCGAGGTCCATGTGGTGCTTGTGCAAGACCTATGCCCAGACAGGAATACTAACTTCTGCTGTTCAGATCCTGGTTTGTTTCCTGACCATTGTCATGGTCTAATGCTGGACAAGCACTTCAGTGAATGACATATGCTCTCTATCAACCTCTCTCCCTTCCCAGAAAGGGAAGGAAAAGAGAAGAAGGGAGAGAGACTTAGGAGTTGGAAACTAAAATACACAGCTTTAATGAAACAGTAATAAAAAGGAAAATAATGCACTATATACAATTATATACAAAGCCACCATCATGCTCCTCCCCTCAGTAATGCTCAAGTTGTCATGGAAGCTGCAGGGTAGGCCCTGGAAAAGTCCCAGAATGAACTCCTGGAGTTTGTGACAGATGGGAGCTGGATGCATGAATGCACAGATTCAGAAACACACAGATCAGGATCAAAGGCAGACAAATGGACGGAGTCCTCCCAGGACACCATCCCTGGATAAAGGGAGCTTGACCTTCATGATCCCTAAAATTTATGCCAAATACGACACATATGGGATGGAATACTTGTTTGGTGAATTTTGGTCACCTGTCTGGTCCACTCCTCCCAACAGGAGGGTCGCAGGTGTGACCCCCTTACTCCCTTCTGGTTCCACAGTATATGATGTTTTGCAG